TGAGCTGTCACTGAATCCAAGTAGCTTCTTTGATCCTCCTTTCTTGAAAACTAAACCGTAAGCCGTTGTTCCTTGTAGATACCTTAAGATTTGCTTTAAGGCTCCTCCGTGTGATTCTCTCGGGTCTTGCATATACCTACTTGTTACTCCAACTGAGAAAGCAAGGTCGGGTCTTGTATGCAAAAGGTACCTTAGACAACCAATCCTTCTTCGATACAAGGTAGCATCAACTTCGGGTTCTTCGACTTGTCCCTTAGATAGCTTTAAACCAAACTCCATAGGTATGTGAGCAGGATTACAAGTATCTAAGAGCGCTTCCTTGAGAATCCTTCGTGCATAGGCTTCTTGTTTTATCTCAATCCCGTCTTTGCTTTGGTTAACTTCTATCCCAAGGTAGTAAGTAAGCTTACCAAGGTCAGACATTTCAAACTTTGTAGACATTCCGGACTTGAAATCTTTGATGATCTTCATTGTTGTTCCTGTGACAAAGAGATCGTCAACATATACGGCAATAATAAGAAGATTTTCTCCTTCTTCCTTGCGATACACGGAGCTTTCCTTAGAACACTTCTTGAACTTCATTCCTTTCAAGATTTGATCAAGCTTCGTATTCCATGCTCGTGGAGCTTGTCTCAAACCGTATAAAGCCTTATGGAGCTTGAAAACCTTATGCTCTTCTCCCTTCTTTTCAAATCCATCGGGTTGAGACACATAAACTTCCTCATTGAGCTCTCCATGTAAGAATGCCGTCTTGACGTCAAGATGATGAATCTCCCATCCATAAGAAGCAGCTAGACCAATTAGTAACCGTATTGTTTCAAGCCGAGCCACCGGCGCGAAAACCTCATCAAAATCAATCCCGGATTTTTGAACGTATCCCTTAGCGACTAGCCTAGCTTTGTACTTGTTAATTGATCCATCCGCGTTCCTTTTTATCTTGAACACCCATTTAAGACCAATTACCTTAACTCCAATAGGTTTGGTAACTAGAGACCACGTCTTGTTCTTATCAATTGAATCAATCTCCTCAAGACATGCATTAGTCCATACCGCAAGTTCTTTAGCTTCTTGATAACATGTTGGCTCGTCATTCATTGACAAGAGTAATTTCTCACACTCAATGTCAGCTAGAAGGACATAGTCTTCAAGATATCTAGGCGTGTTTACTTGGCGACCCGATCTTCTTAGTGGCGGTGGAGCTACAACTTCTTGATTTTCTTGAGCTTGATCATTTGTGTCTTCTTGTGGTTCTTCATCATTATCATCACCTTGATCTTCTTGATGTGTGTCTTGGTTTTCGTTTTCGGGATTATCCACATTTTCTTGTTGAGTCCCGATAAACGGTCCATGACCTTCATCCACCACATCTCCCCAAATCATTTGAAACATTCCCGGACTCCTTGTAGTTTCTTTGTCGTCTCCCTTCCAATTCCAACATGACTTCTCATTGAAAACAACATCGCGGCTCACAACAATTCTCCTAGTCGTTGGATTGTAAAGCCTATATGCCTTGGATCCCGGCTCGATCCCAAGGTTCACCAAAGTTTGAGACCGATCATCTAACTTCTTTAAGTGTTCGGATTCAATTTTTGCATGAGCAAGGCAGCCGAATACTCTAAGATGATCTAAACTTGGTTTCTTGTCCTTCAAGCATTCGTATGGAGTCTGATTTTTCAAAGCTTCCGTAGGTATCCGGTTGATTAGGTAAGTAGAATGACGTATGGCTTCTCCCCAAAGGTAGTTTGGCACTTGCATTGCTTTTAGAATGCTTCTTGTCATCTCCATCAATGTACGGTTTCTTCTCTCAACTACGCCGTTTTGTTGTGGTGTATAAGGAGCCGTCAAGTGTCTCTTTATCCCATTCTTGTCACAAAATTCTTGAAAGTCTCTTGAAGTAAACTCACCACCTCTATCCGTCCGTAAAGTAAAGATGGTCTTTCCAAGTTCTTTCTCGACAAGAGCTTTAAACATCTTGAACTTCTCAAATGCTTCACTTTTCTCTCTTAGCAAAATTGTCCACATATATCTTGAAAAATCATCAATGATCACAAAGATATACTTGTTCCTAGCAAGAGTAGCGGGTGTGATTGGTCCACACAAATCCGCATGTAGTAACTCCAACACACTTGAGGCCCGAAATTGTGATGCTTTAGGAAAGGCTTGACGAGTTTGTTTTCCCACCAAACATGACTCGCAAATTCGTTTTTCACTACTTAGCTTTGGTAGACCATAGACCATCTCGTTTGTTGACATCGATTCAATGGTTTTAAAGCTTACATGACCAAGTCTTGCGTGCCATCTCCATGTATCTTCTTCGATTCTTGAATGTAGACAAATAGGCTTACCAATTTTGAGATTAATCTTGTAGAGTCTATTTGGAGATCTTTCAACTTTTACCAAGAGACGTCCATTCGGGTCATGTAATGTTAGGTAATCTTGACGCATCCTAACATCACAACCATACTCGGTGGCTTGTCCTAGACTTAGGATATTGCTCTTTAACTCGGGGATGTAGTAAATCTCGGTTAAAAGTTGTTGCTCCCCTGTTTTTCCTTGAAACAGAATTGATCCTTTTCCATCAATGTTAACACACGATCCATCTCCAAATCTTACCTTGCCTTTGACGTTTTCATTCAACTCCGAGAAATAAGTCTTTACTCCGGTCATGTGATTGCTAGCTCCATTATCTAAGTACCATATTCCTTCTTCTCCTTTATCCGATTCATACTTCTTAGGAATCAAATTTTCTTCATTAAGGAACACTATCTCATGCATGTAGAGAGCTGCATCCGCCTCTTGTGTCTCTACCTTGTTAGCCTCTTGTAGTTTTTGTTTCCTTTCAGGGCAAACCGAAGCAAAGTGACCTGCCTTATCACATCGGAAGCACACAACATTAGATCGATCTTTCTTCTCTTTTGATTGATCTTGTGTGTTGAAACCTCCACGGCCTCTACCCCGATTACTCCTTCCTCTACCACGACCTCTCCCTCTTCCTCGGGAATTCTCAAAGCTTCCTTGGTACCCACGCGAATCCGTGCTTGTAAACAATAGGTTTCCTTGTGTATCAATGTTACTTTCTACACCACGTATACGTGACTCGTATACCTTTAATCGTCCTACTATGTCTTCAAAGCTAGTATTGTTTAGGTCCAAGACTTGTTCCAATGAAACTATGATTTGAATATATTTTGATTGTGGTAAGCTGTTAAGAAATTTCTTAACAAGTTTTGGCTTATCAATCGTATGACCTAGAGCTGCGGATTGAGACGCCACCTCCGCTAACCTTCCCGCAAAGGTATCGATTGATTCCGAGTCTTTCATCACCATCCTTTCAAACTCAGCCATTAGGGTTTGAAGTCTAGCTTCCTTAACTCTTTCAGCTCCTTGATTTTTAGACTTGATTGACTCCCATATACCTTTTGGAGAGTCTGTTTCACCAATTTGCAAGATTAGGGCTTCCGTGATGGATTGGAACAATAACCCGATAGCAACATCATTCTTCTCTGCATCCGTTGAACCAGGATCTATGGTGTCCCAAACCTTGTTTATGCGTAACAAGACCTTCATCCTCATAGCCCATACCGTGTAGTTTGTATCGTTTAGCATAGGACATTGGATGACGGTCTTCGCCACCTTCTTTTGGCGCGGCACGGGATCAACAACATCTGCCATCACTCGGCTTTGTTGAATCCGTGTTTCACAAGGCGATCGTTAAACCGCTCTGATACCAAATTAAATTTGGGCTAATTCTGGGCTTCCAACTAAAAACCAATTGGCAATTAGTGGATTGGCCCTAACCCTTTATATATTATTGATTGTCCCATCAAACTTCCGATGTGGGACTTGGATTGTATCTCCAACAATCTCCCCTTCAATCCAAGGACCACATGGATCTTAACACACCTCCTCGATCCCTCACTCGGATCGATAATAAGCCCCTTTCTCGGGCCCCCATTACTCGGGTTTGAGGTATGTCCGTATCCACTTTTCTAGGTCCACCAGAATTTGAATCTTGGGCTCTGATACCATGTTAAATTTGGGCTAATTCTGGGCTTCCAACTAAAAACTAATTGGCAATTAGTGGATTGGCCCTAACCCTTTATATATTATTGATTGTCCCATCAAACTTCCGATGTGGGACTTGGATTGTATCTCCAACATCCCAAACATAAAATTTTATTTTTCCTAACTTTTTTTTCGATTGAATCTTTGACTGCCTCTTACTTCTTTATGCTCACCAAGGGACCAACGAGTGACGGACTGTTTCCGGTTTCCGGTAACACATAGTCTACGGTGACTAAGACTCCTTCAATTACGTCGTCTTCCTCCACCTCCACGCGCCGTTTAGTCGTAGCGCGTCCGTTCACTGTGCCACGTATTATGTGGGAAAGAAAATAAAAGGTGAGAACTTTTCATGTCTTGCTTTTTGGCCCGATAAAAAATGTAGCACACCAAAAGAACCCAAAATTATTGGCACAAAAAAAAAAAAAAAAAAAAAAAGAACCCAAAATTTTTGTATGTTTATCAAATGTGGAAAAATAGAAAGTAGATTTTTAGGAAATTTTAACGAAGATACAATTCAAAGACTCGAAGAAATGTATTTAGTAGTATAGAGGGACTTGCAATTAAATAAATTCGTAAAGAAAGAACTATGCATTAAAAATATAGAAGCTTAAGTATGTTTCCTCACTAGAAGCCAGATTTGCAGCTCTATTTTTGTCAACTTAGCTTTATGTAAAGTTCTTATTGCCATAAGCCAAAAAGTCATTCAAAAGGCATAACATGATATCACAAATAAAAATATCCACTTTTATATCTTATTTGTTGAATATATATACACACACACATTAACTTGCTCGTTCACATTAATTTATTTTAAATTTACTTTATACACATTTGATCCCTTGATAAAACAATAGAAATGACTATTTGAACGTTTTATAATTGAGATTACCTATAAAAAAACAAAGTTAAGAGAAAAATAAAAGTATTGACATGAATTTGGATTCACACACGTACCATTGAATAATATCCCATTATACTTACTTAATTAAAGCCAAAATCATATTATTCTTCTCTCTCTCTTCCTTTTTTGAGTTTCAAAATGCATAAATACGAGAAAGAGAGACGAAGACCCAATTAAAGTCCAAGCACCAATCTAGACCTTCTAGGAAAAAAACCTAAAAACCTAATCCCCAAACCTAAAAGGCTTATCTCCTCTCTTCTTCTTTGTCTTCTTTTACTTTTTTTTTTCTCTCTTCACCATGTCTAATGAAACCAGAGATCTCTACAACTACCAATACCCATCATCGTTTTCCTTGCACGAAATGATGAATCTACCTACTTCAAATCCATCTTCTTATGGAAATATCTCATCACAAAACGGTTTGTATCCATCTACTTACTCCTTCACCGATTGCCTCCAAAGTTCTCCAGGAGCGTATGAATCTCTACTTCAAAAATCTTTTGGTCTTTCTCCCTCTTCATCAGAGGTTTTCAACTCTTCGATCGATCAAGAACCAAACCGTGATGTTACTAATGATGTAATCAATGGTGGTGCATGCAACGAGACTGAAACTAGGGTTTCTGCATCTAATTCTTCATCTAGTGAGGCTGATCATCCCGGGGAAGATTCCGGCAAGAGTAGGAGGAAACGAGAGTTAGTCGGAGAAGAAGATCAAAGTTCCAAAAAAGTGTAAGTCATAACTATATAAGTATTTTTATGAAATAAAACCATGGTTTAGGAATTTATTCTAGCATGTATACTAATTTTATAGTGTATATATGATTTCAGTGGGAAAACGAAAAAGAATGAGGTGAAGAAACAAAGAGAGCCACGAGTCTCGTTTATGACTAAAAGTGAAGTTGATCATCTTGAAGATGGTTATAGATGGAGAAAATACGGCCAAAAGGCTGTAAAAAATAGCCCTTATCCAAGGTAATTACTATCTTTTTTTTCCTTCTTTTTGTTTTGCATTTTCGTTTATAGTCTTTTTAGTTTGACCAAAAAATCGTGCGAGAAAAATTCGGAACATTATAGTGTAACTGATAATAGCCAATGCAAACGAAAATATAGGAGTTACTATAGATGTACAACGCAGAGGTGCAACGTGAAGAAACGAGTGGAGAGATCGTTTCAAGATCCAACGGTTGTGATCACAACTTACGAGGGTCAACACAACCACCCGATTCCGACTAATCTCCGGGGAAGTTCCGCGGCAGCTGCTATGTTCTCCGCAGATCTCTTGACTCCAAGAAGCTTTGCACATGATATGTTTAGGACGGCGGCTTATACTAACGGTGGTTCTGCGGCGGCGGCGGCTTTGGATTATGGATATGGACAAAGTGGTTATGGTAGTGTGAATGCAAACCCTAGTTCTCATCAAGAGTATCATCAAGGGGGTGAGTACGAACTCTTGAGGGAGATATTTCCTTCAATTTTCTTCAAGCAAGAACCTTGATCGATCATTGTTATAATTAACTACTTATATATACACTTATATATACTAGCTACTTATATTTATTGAGAGAGAGAGAGAGAGGTAGAGAAAAAAAACTTATATGTAACTAAGATCTTATTTTGTCTCTCTTATTTGCATGTACATATTTTTTATGAGAGAATGAGACGTAAATTGGGCTTGATTATATTTGATGATGTGTAATGTGTTACCGCACGTTGGATACATATTTTTGCTTCGATTTTGTAAGATTATATTTTCTTCTTTTGGGTAGTTTTACAATATGATATTATGTTATGTAATGTGTACTATCATATGTAGAAGCGAAAAAAAAGACATAACTCTAGCCTACGATAGAGTTCCCAAATGTTGATTAGATACATATGATTTTCGGGAAACTTAATTTAAAATTTACAAGTTTAAATGGTAAATTTCCTACTGATTTAAATTATGGTTGATCATTGTGGAAATTTAATTTTAAAGTATCTGCATTTTCACAATTTGTGAGAATTAGTTTAAACATCTCTTGATTAATTTAACAGAAAAAAATGAACAAGAATTTAAAATAAGGGTGTCGATATAAAGAATTTAAGTTGTGGACGACGAATATCTATGTGTGTGAACAAGTAAAGAAAAAACAAAACAAGTTGAGTTCTACGTTGTGTCCTAATTAGAGAATGGACCGAATAAAAGATTTGACTGCCTCTGCTTTCTATCTTATCCACACACACATGGAAACATAGACTGTGGACCAATAATATTACCCCTACCATCAAAACTGAAAACAATGTTTAAATTCAAGAAACGAAAAATACAAATAAGAATACAAAACAGTCATAAAAATTATATTCTTTTAAAAATATATCAAATCTCAGATTTATAGAATTAATGAACGGCAAAAAAAAAAAAAATGAAGGAAGGGGAAGGATGCGAAGAAGAATCTTAGAAAAAAAGATCTCTTTATTAACTTGTAAATGTGTTTGTGCATATGAAAATATAGGCAACAAAGTAATAGTGGATTCTATATATAAGTATTTCTATATATAAGTATTTTATGACGAAAGTAATAGTACCAAATTTCTGAATATGCAATACTATTATTTGGGAGCGCATTTATGTCATATATGAGATGAATGATGAGTCATATGAGATTATAGATCATGTGGCTAATGTAACTTCAGTTTCCTATTTGAAAACTATGCTTAAATTTTGAAATTCAACTGATATGTCCAATCTCGAATCTTTTCATGATCAATCATCATACTCAATTTGTATTAGTTCACTTCAAATACAGTAGATTTTCTAAAGACGTTCTTTTTAATTGTGTGACACATTCACAATAGCCACTCGCAAAATTTGCATTGGAATATTTCTTGAAACAAAAAAAAATTGAAAATTGTATCAATAGAGCCATAACATTACGTATTAATTCTTACAAAGCTAAGGTATAGCAATTTTGAGAAACCTAATAAATATATACCTATATAAATCCTTCATATGTTCTAGATTTTGACTAAATTTGTACATGTTTTGACTGAGAATAATTTGGCCTACACAGATGATAATTGATGTGATCAAATCAAACCAAACCAAGTCCAATCATAAATCAAATCATACGGAAAATCCATTTGACGCAAATCTGTATTAGAGAAACATTTATTTAGTATTTTTCAGTAATATATTAATTTGCTGATGATACAAATTACAAACAAATCTCGTGATAATGATTTTTTGTTTTCGGGGTCGTAATCGAATTCACCTAACAAAAACAAAAAGATAGCCAGAATGTTAGAAAGAGAAGCAAAGTTATAAAAGATCTTCCGGGAGAATCAAGTAATTGCCAAACCCCCTAGTCCCTAGACAACTATAATGATATGACAAACATTATATAATAGTAGAAAAATACATACAAAAAGCTCCGTTTTATAAAGTGAAAAGAATCTTATATCTCAAGAAAAATCAATTCATCACGTCAATTTTAAAGAAGAATTCAAATCATATTCTAATGGCGGAATATCATCTCTCAAATACTTCTCCAAGATGAATCAAACACAAATCTAAGCATCGAAATCGTTTTGGACGTGTAAATATCGTTTCTAACTATTGGAGAGAATAATAATTGCCAATGACCGATTGATTGTACTAATGAAAAATGCGTGGATATTGCAAAAAAATATTTATATATAGTTGACAAACTCATGGGTTCATGCAAAATACTACATTCGAATCCAAATCCTCCATGTCAACAATTAGAGCTACCCATAATTAAATGTATTCAAGTAATGATGAATTAATACCTAAAATACTTTTGTATCAAACCGGTACGAAAGCTAGAGTTAAAGTTGGCAAACATATACTAGTTTATAAACAACTATGCTTTAGGATATCATTGGTCTTAAATTTTGTTACCACCTTCTTTTTGACTTACATTCATATTATATAGTGAATAGAATTGTTGAAATTATATAATATGTTTTTAATGACCAATTTTCTCAATCAATAATTGGAGTTTGCTGGTAAATAAATGTATTTTACTATCCTCCTCATACATCTTTGATACGTCTCTTCTTATTTAAATGACAGATACAAATACAATAATCCAACTTTTAGGCACGTCAATTTAAGTGTCAACATTATTAATTCTAAGTGGATATAAATAATCTCACTCTTGACGGTTTTTAAAGGTATACAGTAGAAGGATTGTATTAACAAGAAATTCTATATTCGTAACATTAAAAAAGAAAACCTCTATCTTGTTTTTGTTCCTAATGACGTTTCCTTAATTTCTCCAAAAATTGTAATAAATGGGCCCAAAAGTATGGAAATCCAAATTGAGCCCAAAGTTGTGATCCAAAGAGCGATAAAGCTCTCACGAGGTTCAAGCTTCCCACTAGCTCAGATCGTGGGGGTAAAATAAACGGTTAACTAATTGTAAAAAATGATTCATTTTTTTACTTCACTAAAATTTACAGTTTTGCAAAGCAGTTTTCAATCTTAGGAGCAGTGTATGTATGCACATTGAGATGGAGAATTTTCGTTACCTGAAAATTTTCTCCTTCATCTTTGTAATATTATTATCTTCTTCTGAAGCAGAAACCAGAGTAGACAAAAGCTCTGTTTTCCTTGTTGATATCCGTAGCTTTGGTGCTCGAGCTAACGACCACAGAGACCACACCAAGGTTTTTTTCTTACAACAGATCTGTGTTTTTTTTTTTTTAGATGAATCTAATTTAGTTACAAGATTCAGCTAAGTAATTGATGATTTTAAAGGCCTTTGTAGCAGCATGGGACAAGGCATGTAAATCATCTTCAAGCTCTGTACATTTTATAATCCCAAGAGGTGAATTCTCTGTTGGTCCTCTCAGATTCTCTGGTCCTTGCACTAATGTATCCAATCTCACTGTTCGAGTTAAGGTAGTTTTTTCATCAACACTCTCCAAAATCTGTCTTTGTTGTGTGTTTGATTAATGATTTCTTTCTCTGCACGTAACTGAAATTAGGGTCATCTTAAGGCATCAACTGACCTATCAAAGTATAGATCAGGCGGTGCTTGGATTGAGTTTGGATGGATCAATGGGTTAACTCTTACTGGAGGTGGAACATTTGACGGTCAAGGCGCCTTAGCTTGGCCGTTTAATAACTGTACTTCTGATTCTAACTGCAAACTCCTCCCAACTGTGAGATAACTCTTTAAACATTGAATTTGATCTTAAACTATTTTCCTTTTTAATCGAAACCCGTGCGGTTATTGATTTCAGAGCTTGAAGTTTGTGGGGATGAACAGAACAGTGGTAAGAAGGATAAGCTCAGTGAATAGCAAGTTCTTTCATATAGCATTAGTAGAGTGCAGAGACTTCAAAGGGACAAGACTCAACATCACTGCTCCTTCTGATAGTCCAAATACAGATGGTATACATATCGAACGCAGCTCGAATGTGTATTTCTCGCGTTCACATATCGCAACTGGAGATGATTGTGTCTCTATAGGACAAGGAAATTCTCAGATCACAATCACAAGTATCAAATGTGGACCAGGACATGGTATAAGGTAAAATGTTAAAAACCGCTTTTTTGTAACTGTTTATCTGCTGTTGAGTTTATTAAACGGTTTGTTTTCTTGCGTTTAAAGCGTTGGGAGTTTAGGGAGATATCCAAATGAGAAAGATGTTAAAGGACTGGTGGTGAAGGATTGCAAGATTAGCGGTACGACGAATGGGATAAGGATCAAAACGTGGGCTAATTCTCCTGGTCTAAGTGCTGCTACCAACATGACTTTTGAGAATATTATTATGAACAATGTGACTAATCCAATCATCATTGATCAGTCTTATTGTCCTTTCTCTTCTTGCATTTCAAATGTGAGTCTTCTTTAACACTCAAATCTCTAGCTACTTTTAGATTAAACAGGGGCTAACGCCGGTTTAGCATTGTGTTTGGGACTGAGAGTTTTCTTTTGATTCATTTTGTTGTTGTAGGTACCTTCGAAGGTGGAGCTGAGTGAGATATACTTCAAGAATATAAGAGGGACATCATCTTCACGGGTCGCGGTGCAGCTGCATTGTAGCAGAGGAATGCCATGTAAAAAAGTGTACTTAGAGAATGTTCATCTTGATCTTTCTTCTTCTGATGGAGGAAGAAAACAGAGCAGAAACAGAGGAAATGAAGCTGTCTCTTCTTCTTGTAGAAACGTTAGAGCTAATTACATTGGAACTCAAATCCCACCTCCATGTCACTAATTATCATCATCACTATCATCATATGGTCATATTAAGTTTATCTTGTACTTAACTTTTGTGCTTTCTTTTCGGACACGTTGTTATCTTCATATGGTCATATTAAGTTTTGATACTTTTGTTGTCTATAGATAAATTGCTAGTACTCTAAGGAATGTTTTTGGCTAAATAATAAAAGAAATATGGCAAGAATACTGGCTGGTAATAAAATTTGGTTCGTGTTTAACGGTTGGTAATACTGGTTGGTAAGTTTGATACTTTGTGTCTATAGATAAATTGCTAGTACCCTAAGGAATTTATTTGGCTAAATAATAAAAGATATATGATTAGAAAATGAAAATACTGGTTGGTAATGAAATTTGGTTCGTTTAAAGATTGGTTCCTACAAAAATGGAGGAGATGGTCCATTCCAAGAGTGCCATTTAACAATTTCCGGGGAATGGTTAGTAGCACAAATTATAACGATATAGTACTTAAAAGTTTTAAAAACTGAAATCTTAATGTAAAATAATACTAATTTTGTTTATAAAAAGAATAATATATGCATACGCATTTGCCTGTTATATAAGTAAGCAACACCATCTTTATTTGTTCCCTGAGATATTGCTCCTTCCGGTTTTTACGATGGAACTAGAATCAGAAACTCAAGAACTCCATCTTCGCGTAAATGGCGGTAAGTATTCTTACAGAAATTCCAGCGTAGAGCTTCTTGTGTTGTTCTTCTCTTACGTTATGTTCTTGTTCTGTTTCATGTGTTAATGATAGAACCTGAAGGGAAAGTTTCAACAGAAGAGAGAAGTCACAACTACTCGTGGAGGTTAAGAGTGTCTCTCTATGTCACTCTTCTCTTAGCTGGAGAGACAATAGCCACTCTCTTAGGTAGACTTTACTATGACAAAGGCGGTAAAAGCACATGGCTCGAGACCTTGGTTCAGCTTGTTGGGTTTCCTCTAACCCTTCCTTGCTATTATTACATAAAGCCTGAGCCTTCCAAGAATAAAACCATAACCAAGAAACCTACTCCTTCCTTCTTGACACTGTCTTTAGTGTATATTGGACTTGGCTTGCTTGTTGCGGGGCACAGTGTTATGTACTCCTTTGGATTACTCTACCTTCCTGTCTCAACTTTCTCTTTGATCTCCGCGTCGCAATTGGCTTTTAATGCCGTCTTCTCTTACTTCCTAAACTCACAAAAAATCACACCATTTATACTCAATTCACTTGTTCTCTTAACCATATCTTCTACACTTCTTGTTATCCAACATGAGCCTGAATCTTCTAATTCTTCTTCCTCTAAGTCCAACTATGTGATTGGATACATCTGCGCGATCGGTGGCTCAGCTGGTTATTCTCTGGTGCTTTCTTTAACAGATTACGCGTTCGAAAAGATCTTAAAGAAATACACTTTTAAGGCGATTTTAGATATGGCTACATATCCATCTTTGGTAGCTACTTGTATTGTTGTGGTTGGACTTTTTGGAAGTGGTGGGTGGAAAATGTTGAGTACAGAAATGCAAGAGTTTCAACTAGGGAAAAACTCTTACCTTTTGATAACAATTGGTTCAACGATATCATGGCAAGCTTTTTCAATTGGTAGTGTTGGTTTGATTCTTGAAGTTTCATCGCTTTTTTCGAATGTCATAAGTACTATATGTTTACCCGTGGTTCCTGTTCTCGCTGTTGTGTTCTTCCGCGATGAGATGAGCCGAATCAAGTTGATTGCAATGTTTTTGGCCATATGGGGATTTGTTTCTTATGCTTACCAGCATTATGTCGATGATCGAAAACCAGAAGAAGAGCAAGAGCTTCCACAACATGAAGAAAAAGAAGAAATGTAAGAAGATAATATTCATGGCCAAGCTTAGACAAAGATCCAAGAACCAAAGCTTGTAAATAAGAACCAATAAACAGTTATATATAGTAGTCACTAGCTAGAATAAAATTGGAAAGTTTTTAAAATATCAAGTGTACTCTGTCTTCTTGTACCTTTGTTAACTTCTGAATACAGTTCAAGTGATACGTAGATAAGAGGCCACAAACCAACGATGGCGAGTCTCTGAGTACAATTCAAGTGACTTGGAAGAGACGAGGGATTGGTTTTGTAAAGGCATGGAAATCGGGCTACCCAGCTCGGCCCGGCTGGAAGTCCACAAAACCGCATATATTTGAGCTTGGCCGAGCTCTAACACGACTACAATTCTTTTCCGGGTTTTTTTAGGTTTTTCTTTCGACGAAAAAAACAAACTTATAATTTATAATATCTCTTAAAAAAAGAATTTATGTATGAAACGAGTCAATCAGAATTAAGATAACAACTAAAGCCAATTTAGTTTAAAATAAAAAGTTTAAAATCAAATAAATTGTATAAATTCATATCAAATTAATAAAATATAAAATCAGAAGACTTCAAACCAAGGCCGTGCCTATGCAAGGAATAAAGAAACGTTCGCCTACGGCATCAAATTCAATAGAAAATTTAAGAGATCATGTTTATAAATATTTACTCATCACTGATAAAGTTGTTTGTCAAATTATTGTTCGTTTGACCTCAAATGCCCACCAATAACTCAAATGCTAATATATATATATATATATATATATATATATATATATATATATATATATATTTCTTATAGATATTTTAATGTGTCCATACGTTTTTTTATTCACCTCAATGTTCTCCATTTTATCATTTTTGTACTAATTTCTTATTTGTTACCAGATTCTTTTAGTTAGTCATTTTTATCCAATTTATTTTTGTTCAATACTTATTTTACTATTTTAAAATACAATTTTTAAATTATATACCGTATTTGCTATATCTTCGTTTTTATTCTAGTTTTTTAGTAACATGCATTATGCCACGTTGAAATCGGATGGTGACACAATAACGACATTATCATAAACCACTAGATAAAGAAAAAATTTATAACAGTTTTTTTTGTAATTTGTTTTTAACAAATGATATTATGAATTATTTCCATAGAAGTTGTGTTATATTTTTAAAAATATTTAAGAATTATATGTGTTATCAATTATTACTTTTTTGAATTATATTTTCAGTTTCGCTTATGGCAACAAAAATCTTAGGCACGGCTCTGCTTCAAACTAGGTATATATAAGAGCACAGATTTGATTTTTAGATTTCTAGTAAAACACAAATAAAAAATAGGTTTAAGATTTTCAACTCTATTAAAAAAATCCTTAAACAAATCTCATATTAAATAAAAATATTAACAAAAGAAAAGTCAAAATATCATTTTAAGAACGTTTTGGGACGGTCCGAGCCCGACAAAGCTAGCCCCAAAAAGACCTTCATTGATGAAATATCTTCCCAACATACCTCCAATCATCTCCCAAAAAAATGTGTGTGTGCTCCGAACTAGATTGTTCCAGCTGGAAGGATTAGAGGTGCGGTGCATGAAAAGACAAGCCATGGAAGTTAGCCTACAAAATATTTTGTAAGAGACTTTGATAGGCTTATAGAAACGGCTGGATACATCTTTACAGATCATACGCTTCAACTTTAGTGAAGTTAACACCAAGATGAATAAATGCTAAACGAATTTCACTCAAACTTAAATAACCATCAGGCCTGGAGGCATTCAACGTGAAAGCCGACCAGAGAGCAACTTCACGGTAAGAGGGCTTAAATATTTGCATAAAACTCACACGGCTCATAGATCCATCACTGGCGTTCTCATTTGTCATTTGTAGATCTGATTTTCTTTATTTAATTTCGTCTACGTTTCCCCGACTCTCATAGCTTCCTCAAGCACCATCGTTGCTTGATCTCCAGTGACTACTCCAACCTCCGCTGTCACTCGCTCTCCGGTGACTACCTCAACCTCCGCTGTCAAATCGCCTGCTGTGAGAAACGCTCTTCGCTTCTCTCTTGTCTCTCTTATTTCCGGTTTGATTTTATTTTTATTTCGTCTAGGTTTCCGTGACTTGCTCCACAACACAGGTGGCTAAAAAAAGAATAAAACATTTTATGAGGTAATAATAAATAAAAGTAAATAAAAGAACATGTTTTGTTTTTTTTAGCATTGCATATATAGTTAGTATTGGAACACTATTAATATTACTCTCTGTTTGTATCATTTCTATTGTTTCATTGTGATAACATAACTCTAGTGCCTGGTTTTATTTGATATTATTTTTTGATTGGACAATACCTTTGATTAGATAATTCTATTTTGATTGGTGAGTCTACTATTATTAGTTACATAGATAAATGTAGGGAAACTACGTACAATAATTGGTAATATATTATAGGTAAGATGGCTTGAAAAGAAGAATGAATTTTGCATGACTCATTGTCCCCTCACAACTTCATTATTTGTCGCCAATAGACGACACACTTCTTCCGATTGAAACTTCAATCTCATGTTTTGTCTAGCGCGACTCAGTTCATTAAAAAATTTCTGTAAATTTTTAATTTTGAATATGTATCATTTTCATTTTGATAATCTTATAGCTATTAAAATACGACAATTAAGGTCATTAATCATTAATTATAATTTTGAATTTAAGTATATCGTTGTATAAGTGAATTCATCTAGCAAAAAGTGGCTGCAGGGATATCTCCCTTTAATATTTGTAATTTATTATCGAAAGAGTTTTTTTTTCAAATATTAAAATTTCAAGGCCAAAACTACAAAATTAATAACAATCCTTTTTGGATGAAAACATCCAAAACACTAATTTTATAGAAAATTCATCTTTTTCTATAGTAAAAATTCATCTTTTACAAAAAAATAACCATTAAAACAAGTCTCTTTATAAATTAATATCTCTTAAAATTAGTAAAATATCATAGTCTCAACTTTTTTTGAATTTATAGAGATTTTAGTGTATCGAATGAATTTACTATTCAAATTTTTATAAACTAAAACCACTACAAAGGTTAAATAAAGGTCGAGTCCCCACATTGTTACTCAAAATCTATCTTGGTGTTGTTTTTTAAGGTTTACTCGCTAAAACCCGAAATTTACAGAATTTTTCAAACACAGACTTCTGGTGGACGGACTTAATTTGGATTCGGATTCGGGCTGAAGTGAGTTTCTTTAACGCACGGCAACATTCCGTTTTCTTTTCTTTTTTGTCGTCAACACATTTTACAACACAAAAAAAAACATTTAATTATAAAAATATTTATTCATATTGAACCGGATAGAGTATGATGAACCGGACCTATCAATTGAACCGGTCGGTTCGTGATTGAAACCAAATTAAATCTTTATAGTAGTTGATCAACGAGAACAACTGTTCAAAGTTTAGATCTTTGTAAGTTTTGATGGATTATTCTCTACGAAAGCAGACTCTGAATCCAAACAAGCATCTCAAAGAACAGTAAAGCTTCTCTCTTTGTCATTATTCGTCTTCTCAATGATCTCTATTTTTTTCTGTACGATCTCGATGCAGGGCCGGCCCTGAAAATTTGGGGGGCCCAAGCAAATTTTAGAGTAGTTTAAATATTTTTAAAATTGGGGACCTCTTTTAAAAAAAATTATAAAATTGGGGGCCTATTTCTTAAATAAAAACAACTGGAAATTCTGAGGTCCCTAAGCCCATATTTCACCTTGCTGGGCTCAGGGCTGGCCCTGTCTCGATGAGTCATGCCATATCCTAAAATCCGGTCTAGTTTTAATTGTTCAAAGTGATTGTGGATGTTATTAGAATGTCCCACATTACTTGGGATTAAGATCTTTGGGTAATATATAAAGGATGTGACAATCCTTAACTCGGTAGCTTTTGGATGTGACGCTCCTGTTTTTCTCTGTACGATAGAAAGCACTAAAACTACGACATAATGAAAAACAAGTCTGTCACTTATAATATATCAATGTAAATTATATATGTACATTATAACTATTCTAACTTTAAAATTTTAATGTAATAAAGACTAAACTAGTTCCATAAAAAATATATGTGTTCATTAAAAATTTGTTAATTAACTTAAACCTATAATGAACATGTATAATTTAATTAAGTGACACTTTTAAAAATTTAGTTAAATTAATTTTATATAAAACATATGTGTGCATTAAAAATTAGTTAATTAATTTAACTTAAAATTATAAGGGATACTGCATATGTAGAATTTAAACTTTAAAAGTTATAATGCATATATATAATTAACAATAGTGTATTATTTACTTTTAGTTATTTTTTCATTTTGTAATTTAGTTTTAAAAAAATGATGGAATTATTTCATGTAGTTAACAATACATTTATATTATCTGGAAATGATGGTTGTGGTATATATAATTTACATTGATATATTATATAGTTTTATTTAACTTATAGTGATGTATAATTTAACTAAGTGACTATTTTAAATTTTTAACAATTTAATATAATAAATATTAAATTAGTTAAATTAATTTAACTTAAAAGTATAATGCATTAAAAGTTATAATATATATATATATATAATTTATAATAGTGTAATATTTACTTTTTAGTTATTTTTTATTTTTTAATTACTTAAAAAAAAAAAAAATTTGATGGAAAATACTTCGTGTAGTTGACAAAAAAAAGAAATACTTCGTGTAGTTAACAAGGCATTTATATTATCTGAAAATGATGGTTATGGTGTTGCACACATAACCGATGATAGTTCGGGGATGTCCGTATGTAATATCAATAGTTCGTGTAGTTAGCGAGACATTAAAATAGTCTGCATGTGTGGTGATGTGTTGGCGTATAATTCGTGTAGCTGACAATGATTTTTCCTTTATATAATCACATTCTTTTAATAACGTGTTGCTTGATTCGTGTTAATTGATAATTTGATACATTAAGCACTATCGTTGTTGACTTCTAAATCCACAAAATAGATACTAACAAAAGAAAGTAAGAACTTTTTTTCAAGTGGACACTCGAGCCAATAAGATTACAATAAGATCCATCTGTTTCACCAAACTCAGCCTATTTTAACAGCGTTGTGTATAAGAAGTTTTCTTAAAGCCGCCAATTAGAAGGTTATAAGAATTCCAAGTCAACGGTAAACAGCTTTACCAAAATATGACGCACTTGCCGCCAACCTCCGTCCATCTATATAACAGCTTTGTCAAAACTCTGTTTGTGGGAAGTTCTCTTAGAGCCGTCATGGAAAGAACTCAAGAACTCTATGTCAATGGTAAGCAAAAAGGCCTCTCGAAGTGTAGATCTCTTTGAAAATCATCTGAAACCATGCAGATTATTTGATTATTTCATGATATATGCTAATAATGAGTGTTGTCTTATTTATGTTTTCAGATGATCAGAACATAGAAGCAAACCTAACAGGTCAGGAGGAAATGAATACCACCATGAAAATCGAATCTTCGTCTGTTCCTCAATCGAAGAATTATAAGAAATGGCTTCGTATTTTCATTTATGTGTTCTTTGTCCTTGCCTGCCAAGCACTTTCTACAATTTTGGGCAGAGTGTACTATGAAAATGGTGGGAAGAGTACATGGATGGGAACACTTGTCCAACTAATCGGCTTCCCTGTTCTGTTTCTCTTCCGCTTCTTTTCCCGAATCAAAAATTCCAAATCAACAGATGCAGATTACAGAAAGTTCTCTTCCTACACCATTCTTGGATCAGTTTACATTGTTACTGGACTGTTAGTGTCTGCTAATTCTTATATGTCCTCTGTTGGTTTACTATACTTACCTGTTTCTACTTTCTCCCTCATCTTGGCCTCACAATTGGCCTTCACTGCCTTCTTCTCATATTTCCTAAACTCGCAGAAGTTCACACCTTTCATTGTGAATTCTCTATTCCTCCTCACTATTTCCTCTGCCCTCCTCGTGGTAAACACTGATTCGGAAACCACAGCAAAAGTTTCTAGAGTAAAATATGTGATAGGGATCATATGTACCATTGGTGCTTCTGCTGGGATTGGACTGCTGCTATCTCTGGTACAACTGATCCTCAGGAAGGTTTTAAAGAAGCAAACATTCTCAACGGTTACGGACCTGGTCGCTTACCAATCTCTAGTTGCAAGCTGTGTGGTTCTCATAGGACTTTTCGCAAGCGGAGAGTGGAAAACTTTAACAAGTGAGATGGAAAACTACCAACTGGGGAAAGCGCCATACGTTCTGACTTTGGCCTCGATAGCTATTTCCTGGCAAGTCTACACCATTGGTGTTGTGGGACTGATCTTCGAGTCATCTTCTGTGTTCTCCAATTCCATAACTGCTGTGGGATTGCCTATAGTTCCAGTTGTAGCAGTGATTGTTTTCCATGATACAATGAACGCGTCAAAGATCTTCTCCATCGTTTTAGCTATCTGGGGCTTCATTTCATTTGTCTATCAGCACTACCTCGATGAGAAAAAGTTGAAGACTAGCCACACAAGTTCTGTAGGAGACCCTCATCTACCTGTTGAGGAAGGTCACACAAACATACAAAGTGTATGATCAAAGCATATATCCAGTATAAAGCCAATGTATCTTTGTACAGTTTGAGCATAGATATAAAAACGTGTAACTCTATTTTGCCAACTAGTCAGTTAAAAGTTACTGATAAGTTTTGTACATAAGATACCAATAATTCAGATTTTTTTGTACCTCTATATAGCCCAGAGATAGCCATAACTTTGTCATCTTGCAATGCATTTGAAACATCGAGAACAGAGAGGCAAATAGGCTAAAGCATCTTTGGGAAAACAGAGCTTTGAACAAAAAAGAAAAAACAAGGGAACAGAACATAATACCCACTTACTTGGAAGCCACTGACGTAACAAACAAACAATGTAGTGACTTGAACAGTGACTTGCAACAAAACTCATAAAAATACCAAAAAACAGGAGCTTGGCCATTCAAAAGTTTCAAGAATTCCAAGTCAAGTGTAAGCAAATAAGAAAAGTCAATGGTCAACATGAGACTACTAAATTATGATACTGCAGTCATCTATCGCCTGCCCCATCTATATAATAAGATTTACTAAAAGCATGCCATGTTTGATAGTGCAACTTGTGTAGGGCATTTAGCTTTTATAATAAACGATCAATCTGTGTATAAAGAAAGGTCTCTTGTGTATCTGCAAGACATCTCAAAAAAAAAAAAAAAAAAAAAATCAATTAACTCAATCTGATTTCTTCCAACTGTTTTTCTCATTTCTCATGGACAGATCTCAAGAGCTCTATGCTAATGGTATGCAAGAAACACTTGGTAGCTTTAGATCCTTTGATTCTTTTTTCATAAAAATATAGTAACCACTAGTGTTAATTTTTCAGGTGACCAGAACTTAGAAGCAAACCTTATAAGACATGAGGAAACTGAATCATCATCGGTACCTCAAACGACAAACTATAAAAGGTGGCTCCGTGTCTCCATATACGTTATCTTTGTCCTATTCTGCCAACCACTTGCTACAATTCTGGGTAGATTGTACTATGAAAATGGAGGGAACAGCACATATGTGGTAACACTTCTTCAACTCATTGGCTTCCCTGTTCTGGTTCTCTTCCGTTTCTTTTCACGAATCAGACAACCCAAATCAACAGATACCAATTTCAGTCAGTCCCCTTCCTTCACCATCCTTGCATCGGTTTACTTGTGCACTGGACTGCTAGTATCTGCTTATGCTTATTTGTCTGCGGTTGGGTTGCTCTACTTACCAGTCTCTACTTTCTCCCTCATCTTGGCCTCACAGTTGGCCTTCACTGCCTTTTTCTCGTATTTCCTTAACTCGCAAAAGTTTACTCCTTTCATCGTCAATTCTTTGTTTCTCCTCACTGTTTCCTCTGCTCTTCTCGTGGTCAACACTGATTCAGAAAACTCAGCAACTGTCTCTAGAGTACAATATGTGATCGGGTTCATATGTACCATCGGTGCTTCTGCTGGGATTGGACTGCTACTATCTCTGATACAACTGCTCTTCAGGAAAGTTTTCACGGATCATACATCGTCGGCAGTCATGGACTTGGCCATTTACCAATCTCTCGTTGCAAGTTGTGTGGTTCTCATAGGACTATTTGCAAGTGGAGAGTGGGAAACTTTGCCAAGTGAGATGAGAAACTACAAACTGGGGAAAGTGTCATATATCTTGACTTTGTCCTCAGCAGCTATTTCCTGGCAAGTATACACTCTTGGTCTTGTGGGATTGATCTTCGAGTCATCTTCTGTGTTCTCCAATTCCATTACAGCTGTGGGATTGCCTATAGTTCCAGTTGTAGCAGTGATAGTTTTCCACGATAAGATGGACGCATCGAATATCTTCTCTATCATCTTAGCTATCTGGGGCTTCCTTTCATTTGTCTATCAGCACTACCTCGACGAAAAAAAGTTGAAGACTAGCCACACAAGTGCTGTAGAAGATCTTCACCTACCTGTTGAGGAAGGTCACACAAACATACAAACTTATGATCATGCATATATTATATGAAGCTCATGACTCTCTCTCTGTATAGTGTGAGAAAAGATAAAAAAATGGAACTCTATTTCGCCAACTAGTGTGTGATATGTAACTGCTGATTTTGTACATAAGATACCAATAAGATACCAATATTTCAGATTTGATTTTAGCAGATATAACCATGTCACATTTGTGATATTTCCGTTTCGTGAGTGTGACACCAGAGATAATCATAACAAAAAGATGCAATGCTATACTCTGCTTTGATGCAATGCATATGAAACACCGAAAACAAGAGCAAACAACGAAAGAAGAGAGACAGATAGGCTAATGCATCCTTGAGAAAACAGAGCTTTAAGTAAAAAAAACAAGGGAACTGAAACAATACCACTTGGACTCGCTGACATAACAAATAAACAATGTAGTGACTTGAACAATAAATCTTTTATTCCTTTGCAACAAAACTTCTTATATTACCAAAAAAATGTACTCCAGGAGTTTGGCTTCTTGTATCTTTGTTGATGCTGCATTCAAAGGTTTCCAAATTGATATAATGTCAATAGATAGTTACATACTGCATTGTTGTTTTCTTAGAGCATTCAAAGGTTTCAAGAATTCCAAGTCATGTGCGTAAGCCAAAAATGAAAAAAAGTTCTCTTAGAGCCGCCATTCAAAAGTTCAAGAATTCCAAGTCAAGTGTAAGCAAATAAGAAAAGTCAATGGTCACCATGATACTACTAAATTATGATACTGCTGTCATCTATCGCCTGCCCTATCTTTATTATACACAAATTAGTAAAAGTCTGTCAAGTTTGATTAGTGCAACTTATCTTGTGTATAAAGAAAGGCTCTTGTGTATCTGCAAGACATATCAAACGAAAGAAATCAATAAACACAATATTTTTTCTTTCATTTCTCATGGGAAAATCTCAAGAACTCTATGCCAATGGTATGCAAAAGGCCCTTGATAACGTTAGATCATTTGATTCTTTTTTGATGAAATATATTAACGTTGAGTGTTCATTTTTCAGGTGACCAGAACTTAGAAGCAAACCTTATAGATCATGAGGTAAGTGAATCATTATCGGTACCTCAAACGAAGAACTGTAAAAGGTGGCTCCGCGTCTCCATTTACGCAATATTTGTCATCTTCTGCCAACCACTTGCTACAATTCTGGGTAGATTGTACTATGAAAATGGAGGTAACAGCACATATGTGGTAACACTTCTTCAACTCATTGGCTTCCCTGTACTGGTTCTCTTCCGTTTCTTTTCACGAATCAGACAACCCAAATCAACAGATACCAATTTCAGTCAGTCCCCTTCCTTCACCATCCTTGCATCGGTTTACTTGTGCATTGGACTGCTAGTATCTGCTTATGCTTATTTGTCTGCGGTTGGGTTGCTCTACTTACCAGTCTCTACTTTCTCCCTCATCTTGGCCTCGCAGTTGGCCTTCACTGCTTTTTTTCTCATATTTCCTTAACTCGCAAAAGTTCACTCCTTTCATCGTCAATTCTTTGTTTCTCCTCACTGTTTCCTCTGCTCTCCTCGTGGTCAACACTGATTCAGAGAACTCAACAAATGTCTCTAGAGTACAATATGTGATCGGGTTCATATGCACCATCGGTGCTTCTGCTGGGATTGGACTGCTACTATCTCTGATACAACTGCTCTTCAGGAAAGTTTTCACGGATCATACATCCTCGGCAGTCATGGACTTGGCCATTTACCAATCTCTCGTTGCAAGTTGTGTGGTTCTCATAGGACTATTTGCAAGTGGAGAGTGGGAAACTTTGCCAAGTGAGATGAGAAACTACAAACTGGGGAAAGTGTCATATATCTTGACTTTGGCCTCAGCAGCTATTTCCTGGCAAGTATATACACTGTTGGTTGTGTTGGATTAATCTTCGAGTCATCTTCTGTGCTCTCCAATTCCATAACTGCTGTCGGGTTGCCTATAGTTCCAGTTGTAGCAGTGATAGTTTTCCATGATAAGATGGACGCATCGAAGATCTTCTCCATCATTTTAGCTATATGGGGCTTCCTTTCATTTGTCTATCAGCACTACCTCGACGAAAAGAAGTTAAAGACTTGTCACACAAAACCTGTCAAGGAAGATACACAAACTTGATGAAAGGTAGCTGCCTTGAAGGTCACACAAACAAACATACAAAGTTGTGCACACAATCATGCATATAATATATATAAATCTTGTCTGTGTAATTCTTGTAATGGTCCATGTAAATGGGACACATGTCTCTCTATACAGCTAGAGCATATATATCAGAAATGTGCAAGTCTCTTTTGGTCAAATATTCAGTAATAAATAAATGAATAATTCTGTAGATAAGGTACACACATTTCAGATATTTAGAACTGCTATTAAGCAACGAATTGTATAATACAAGCAGGGTGATAAAAGCAGACGTTTCTTTAACAGAAAACCATGTCTATATTGTGATATTTTTCCGTGGTGTATAATGAAAAAAGAAGAAATCTTAGAAAAATAGGTCCCAACATAAGCAAAGCTTTGAACAAAAAGTAAATGACCAGAAATAATACCATTTGGAAGTCTATGACTTAACAGTTTATAAAGCGACTTCCTCTGCAATCCAGTATTGTTGTTGCAAATATCTTCTCTTGAAAACATAGGGGAGACAAAAAATTCAAGACTAGCCAGGGAAACCTGAAGTGTGTTCATAATCCACATGCCACATCATAAGAAAAGTCAGACGGAGCAAGCCAGATGAACTCTCAAAATTTTCGTCCTCAAGATCACACAATCATAGAACTATACATACGTCATATATGCGTATGCGTGTTAAGTTTCTATTTGTCTATGCGTATGGGGTTCATGTTTCTCCACATAGTTGCAGAAGAAATTCTGAATGAATATGGGCTACACATCATTTACGCCTGGACTTAACTCATTTATTGGTCAACAATAGTGGCATCTTTGCATGTAGAAAGACTAAAGAAACTAAATTCATGGACAGAGTCAATATATGGTTGGCATTTACTGAATGTGGGGCCAAGAAAAATGAAACTTAGACGGTGACCGATTCCTAATCCCTGAATATATATCAAAGGAGCAATCACTTGGTAGCATTTGCAATCAAGAGAATTAATAATAAGATACCTATTACTTCGAATCTGTTAAGAACATCGTTAGTTCCTCCTTGTCCATCTCCAAGGAGGTGATTCCACATCCACCATGACCGCGGATCAAGAACTACAAGTCATCGGTGAGTAAGCATAAACCAGTTCGTAGTGAACGTACTAGTCTTTCATCTTCAAAAAAAAAGAAAGAATAAGATGGTTAATTATGATATTTTATTATTCAATATATGATACGATTGACAACAAAATAAAGTATTAAACTAATTTTTGCGTTATTTTCCCTCACTTACCAGTTCAGCAGGGAAAAGAACCAAATCCAACAGTTCAAGATGAAAGAAATTCGGTCAGTAGCAGCCAAACAGAAGTATCTCGCTCTAACACGTACAAACGGTGGCTCCGGGTGTCTCTCTATACATTCTTTGTCATTTCAGGCCAAACAGTTGCTACAATTTTGGGCAGACTATACTATGACAACGGAGGAAACAGTAAATGGCTAGCAACGGTAGTTCAACTTGTTGGCTTTCCTGTTCTACTTCCATATTATCTCATGTCAATCAAAACACATGCAACAACTCATAGAGATGGAAAAAGAACCTCACCTAGGAACCGTGTATTGGTTTACGTAGTGCTTGGACTTCTTGTAGGAGCAGATTGCTATCTGTACTCCATCGGACTTCTTTACTTACCCGTTTCTACATATTCCCTGATCTGTGCATCTCAGTTAGCCTTCAACGCTTTCTTCTCTTATTTTCTTAACTCACAAAAACTTACTCCTATCATTTTGAATTCTCTTTTTCTCCTAACTATATCTTCCACCCTACTTGCGTTCAATAATGAGGAGTCAAATTCCACAAAAGTTACAAAAGGAGAGTATGTCAAAGGTTTCATATGCACAGTTGCTGCGTCTGCTGGGTATGGCCTTGTCTTATCCCTACAACAGCTAGCCTTCCTTAAAGTCCTAAAGAGGCAAACTTTCTCAGAAGTTATGGATATGATAATCTACGTGAGTCTAGTTGCCAGTGGTGTTAGTGTGGTGGGGCTTTTTGCTAGTAGCGAATGGAAAACTTTGAGCAGTGAAATGGAAAACTACAAACCTGGGAAGGTATCCTACATTATGAACCTAGTGTGGACAGCTGTTACCTGGCAGGTATTCTCCATCGGTGGCACAGGACTGATCTTCGAGCTTTCCTCTCTATTCTCAAATGCAATAAGCGTTTTAGGACTCCCCGTGGTTCCCATCCTGGCTGTAATCATTTTCCATGACAAAATGAATGGGTTAAAGGTGATTTCTATGATCCTGGCTATTTGGGGTTTCACTTCCTATGTCTACCAACAATATCTTGATGACAAAAACTTGAAGAAAAGTCATGGAATCACAACAACAAAATCCCCTGACCCACCAGAAGCAGAAGAGTCAAGTTGGCAATCAAAATAACCTGATTTTTGAAAGATGGTGTCCTGCAGTTTACACACTCAATCAATCTGGTTAAGAAACTTACTTTACTTATCGACCTGGAGGCATCCTACAAGGAAGAATACACAATACATTTTTGATGCAACTAATGTGAAGTCTCAGCTTGAAATTTTTTGCATCAATGTAACAGAAAGTAGATTTCATTTAAATAAATACTGAATGACTCTGGTTTAGTTTAGTGAAACAGCATTACCAAGTTTAGAACAGCTGATTACAACTTGCGTTCATAGCAACTAAAGATAAAATGTAACTCAACCCTGTATGTAACGAGAACGTGCAGGTGTAGGCAGAGTGATAAAAGCAGACATTTATTTAACAAAAAATCCATGTCAATTTTGTGATATTTTCATTTTGTTAGTGTGACACCCAATTGACCAGTTAGCTATAACTTACGAAGATTTCAATGCACTATTCCGCTTTCTAGTTTTACCTGAAATATTGTGAAACAAGGACAAACAGAAAATCATGTCGAATGAAGAAAGAAGAAATCTTAATCAGATAGGTACTAACATCCTTGAGGAAACAGAGCTTTGTACAAAAAGTAATGACCAGAAATAATACCATTTTGGAAGTCTCTATGTTAGCAGTTAATAAAGTGACTTCCTCTGCCATCCAATATTGTGTTGCAAATGTCTTCTTTTGAAAAGATAGGCGAGACATAATCTCCATAAATGTGTTCCTAATCCACATGCCTGATCATAAGAGAAAGATAGTCAGACGGAACAAGCCAAAGGAATTATAGAAGAAGAAGAACTTTCAAAATAGTCATCCTGAAGGTCATACAATCATACAAATTGTGTGCATGCGTGTTAAGTTTGAAACTATGCATATGGTTGATGTGTCACACAGCTTTAAAATACTGAGTGAATAATGGCTCCACATCATTTTCTTCTTGACTTGACTCACTCAGCTCTAGATCACACAGCATGTAGAAAACAAAAGAAATTAAATTCATGGCAAGAGAAGATATACAGTTGGCATTTACTGAATGGGGACAAATACAATCAAAACATAGACGGTGACCGATTCCTAATCTCTAAGTATATAGCTACAGCGTGTCTCACCCATATTACAGAAGCAATCACTTGGTAGCATTAGCAACCAAGCAATTTGATAATAAGATACCTAAAACTTAGAATCTGTTAAGAACATTCTTAGTACCTCCTTGTCCATCTCGAAGGAGGGAGATTCCACATCAACTATGAAGGGGGATCACGAACTACAAGTCATTGGTGAGTAACCATAAACCAGTTCGTCCAGAACCTACTGGTCTTTTATCTTCAAAGAAAATAAAGAAAAAGATGATTATGGTATCATCTTATTATTCAATATATCAATATTTTTCATGTGTGACAACCAATAAATCATACACTAATTTCTTGCGTTATTTTCCATCACTCACCAGTTCAGCAGGCAAAAGAACCAATTCCAACAGATCAGGACGAAAGAAGTTCGGTCAGTGGCAGCCAAACAAAAGTTTCTCACTCTACATACAAACGTTGGTTGCGGATGGCTGTCTATACACTCTTTGTCATTTCAGGCCAATCAGTTGCTACAATTCTGGGCAGACTATACTATGACAATGGAGGAAACAGCAAATGGCTAGCAACAGTAGTTCAGGTTGTAGGCTTTCCTATTCTACTTCCATATTATCTCTTGTCAGTCAAAACACATACAACAACTCATAGAGATGGCAAAATAACCTCACTTAGGAACCGTGTATTGGTTTACATAGTGCTTGGACTTCTTGTAGTAGCAGCTTGCTACCTATACTCTATCGGACTGCTATACCTACCTGTTTCTACCCTTTCCCTGATCTGTGCATCACAGTTAGCCTTCACCGCTTTCTTCTCTTATTTACTCAACTCACAAAAACTTACTCCTATCATTTTGAATTCTCTTTTCCTCCTCACTATATCTTCCACCCTACTTGCATTTAATAGTGAGGAATCAAATTCCAAAAAGGTTACAAAAGAAGAGTATGTCAAAGGTTTCATATGCACCGTTGGTGCATCTGCTGGTTTTGGTCTACTCTTATCCCTACAACAGCTAGCCTTCCGTAAAGTTTTAAAGAAGCAAACTTTCTCAGAAGTTATGGATCTGATAATTTACATGAGTCTAGTGGCCAGTTGTGTTAGCCTGGTGGGTCTTTTTGCTAGTAGCGAGTGGAAAACTTTGAGCAATGAAATGGAAAACTACAAACTTGGGAAGGTATCCTATGTCATGAACCTAGTGTGGACAGCTGTTACCTGGCAGGTATTCTCCATTGGTGGCACAGGACTGATCTTCGAGCTTTCCTCCCTATTCTCAAATGCAATAAGCGCTTTGGGACTCCCTGTGGTTCCTATCCTGGCTGTCATCATTTTCCATGACAAAATGAATGGGTTAAAGGTGATTTCTATGATCCTAGCTATTTGGGGTTTCGTATCCTATGTCTACCAACAATATCTTAATGAAGAAAACTTGAAGAAAAGTCATGGAATCCCAACAACAGAATCCCCTGACCCACCTGAAGCAGAAGGGTCAAGTGAGCAATCAAAATAAGCTGTTATTTCAAAGAGAGTGTCACACAGTTTACAGACTAAAGCGAGCTGATCGAGTAAACTTACTTTTCTTTATTGGCCTGAAGGCAGCCTACAATGAAGAATAAACATAATAGATTTGTGATGCGACTCAAGTGATGTCTTAGCTTGAAAATGTTTGCATCATTGTAACATGAAATATATTTTATTTAAATATATAGTGAACGATTCTGGTTTAGTTTGGAATAAGATTACCAAAACCACATTATAAGCTCACTGAAATGGCATTAAGTCATTAACAAAGTCAGAACAGCTGATTACAAAAATTCATTGTTTAAAACTCAATCCTGCATATAAAGAGAAGGTGTACACTATGTAGCTTTCTAAGTTTTTGTAATATATCTAGGTGTAAGGAGAGTTCCAATCAGCTTACATCAGGCACCCAACATAGTGAGCCCGAGGGTATTTATTTTGCAATTGTGGCCATTGAACAAAGAACTGATCAGCTATCCTCAACTTGTAAAGTAACACTCCACTTAATGAGAGCTTTTTCACTCTTGCTACACTCTCAACATAAAAGATTGATGACCATCTAATTCCCAGTACCTGTAACCCAAGATGAAACAAGCACACTTATTGGTATTCTAGATGTAATGGAGAAACCATGACTTTTTGGTCACAAGTCCATTCAAGGTCATCCAAAAAAGTAGAGGAAAGAACCGAAAAGAATCTTGAAGTGAAGTGTGTATACCTTGAATACGAAAGCGATCACACACAGAGGAATACAGGTCCCAGGACCATTGCAAAGAATCTGAAAAACTTCAACCAGATCTAATCAATAACCTGATTCAAATGGTTTAATAAAGAACCCCTAGAGAAAGTCTGAAAAGCATTCAGATAAAGATCATACCACTTGTGGTCTGATCCGGATCATTAGCCACAGAGCATGAACAATAGCAACAATGGTAGTCCAAACAGAAGTCACATAAGACTGACCAACTTCACGACTCCGGTAAATTTGCATGAACTGTGATGATGCTTCCTTAACAGCAGGCTACACCACAGTCAAATCAAGCAAAAAAACCTGAATAAATCATTCGGTTGAAGAATTATCCAGTATCATACTGATCAATGCAGTATCAAACAAACAAGAAGTCAATAAGCGATAAGCAGCAAAATCCAAAGAAGAGGGGCAAAAACTCAAAAACGAATTTGAAATAAAGGATTTAAACTAAACCTTCTCAGCTACAGAATCTTCAAAACTACGAGCTTTCTGGAGACTCATGTTATCAGTAGCTGCAGCAATGTAAAACCTTGGTGTAAATCTGTCCTTCCGCAAAACAGAGAGGAGACTCAACATCTCAGCCGTGTGTCCCCCTAATAAAATTAACCCACAGTAAAATTCCATCTAACCAATAATGAATCCAATGGAATAGGAAACTGTGTTAACTCTACTTACCAGAACCAAGAACAATAAGAGTAGTAAAAGACTGTGAAACTCCTTTTGGAAGAGGTTTGCCACACCGGTATATAACATAGAGTACACGAACCATAAGAAGAACGATTGCCAAAATCATCAATAAACCAATGCTGAATCTTGAGGCCATCCTCGAGTAAATGCAGCTGCAACCTTCCTCCATGATCCTGATAACAACACTCTTCTCTTCACAAACAACAAAACATGAGTATCTATCTCAATGAATTGAAAAAAAAAAAAAATTTGAACTAAATTGGAAAACGTCAAAATCCAAACGTAATCGAGAAACAACTCAAAATCAGATCACAAAACAAAAACGAGCTCGAAATTAGACAAATCCATTTTCTGAAAACCGAAATTGAAGATTCACGACGGCGATTATTAGGGAGAAAGAAGCAAAAAAAACTCACCGGCGACGGAGAATCCCGGCGGTGACGGGAACGAAAAGGATTAGGGAATTGAATTTAATTGGTTACCGTGTGTCTTCTTTTTACCACCGTCCGATTTGGATATTGCTTAGAATACACGTCGTGTAACCACGTGGCTTTATCTTGTGGTGGACCAGCGAACATGTAATTCTTTCCCAATTTTTTGTTTTAAATCTTAAAAAGATATAAGAACTCATATGAAGAAGATATTACACAGTTCGAAAAATATGAGATTTTCCCACAAAACCTCCATTGAAGCAACTTTTGAATCTTTCTTCTTCGTTTAGAAATTATTTTAATTAAACATGACGACGAAGCTATCGAGCTTCTGTTTCTTGACCCATGGATTAGCGGGAATTTCTTGCGAGAGAGAACACGGAAGTTCTCATCGTTTTTTCTATCTCCCTTCTCGTCGATTAGCTTCTACTTCTTGTAAGATGCGACAACAACGGGGTTTCGAGTGAGTGTTTTTTTGTCAATTTCACTCGATTGCTGTGTTGATTTTTGAGAAGTATGTAGACTTTGATTGATTTGTGTAACCAATTTTAGTTTGGCATTTTTGAATTTAGTGATTCTGTTCTTAGATATCTTGCGTGATGTGGTTGTCTTACAAACTTATCTTGAAAATTTCATTTTTTTTTTTTTTTTTCTCAGCTTAGAGTTTTGGTGAATGCTCATAGATGTGAATTTGGTTATGATTATCTTGATTTAGATTCATTTGTTTGGGAAAGATGAGTTTGGAGAAGAGTCTGAGAATTAAAACTTTGATTTTACTTAGTAATTCAGATCAAAATGTTGCATTTGATTTTTGATATGACTCCAATTTGTTAAGCTAGCCTCTATGTAGCTAAAGTTCTTTTCAATTCCCATTTGATTTACAGCTCTAGTAAAAGACAAGAAATCAAGAAAGGATCCCCTAAACCGATCCTATCGATAAATTCAGGTCTTCAGAGCAACAACGATGAGGAATCTGATCTGGAGAATGGTTCTGCGGATAGTGTTCCGAGCCTCAAGTCAGATGCAGAAAAGGATACCATAGATATGAATCATGCTGATGAGAATATTGAAAAGAAAGATGATATACAAACAATTGAAGTAACTCGGCGCAAGAATAAACCTGCAAAGAAGAAGGAGGAGAATGTTCATGCCACAGTTGATATTGGGCATGATGATGGGCAGAATTTAAATAATTTAACTGTGCCTGAGGTTGCAAAAGCTTTGGTATGGATTTCATATTAATGTTAATGGTATAATTGTAACTCTCTTCTTCTGAAAAAGGCCTTCTTTTGATCATTTTCTGGATCATTTTTTCAGTCGCTTAACAAAAGTGAAGGTGAGCAGATTTCAGATGGACAGTTTGGGGAACTGATGACAATTATAAGAAATGCAGAAAAAAGTAACTTTGCTTATCTGATTAGTTATGTGTATTTCCTGATCTTGTGAAAGCCTTTGTTAATTCCTGATGTCTTACTGTGGCAGATATTCTTCGGCTTGATCAAGCACGGGCCACTGCTCTTGACGACCTTAACAAGATTCTAAGTGAAAAGGAAGCTTTGCAGGGAGAAATCAATGTCTTGGAGATGAAATTGGCTGAGACTGATGATAGGATTAAACCTGCTGCTCAAGAGAAAGTACATGTAGAGCTTCTGGAAGAACAGTTAGAGAAGCTTCGACATGAAATGACCTCCCCTATAGAAAGTGATCGTTATGTTCTAGCTCTTAGCAAAGAGCTCGAAACATTGAAGATGGAGAATCTCTCTTTGAGAAACGATATAGAAATGCTTAAGTCAGAACTTGACAGTGTTAAAAATACTGGTGAACGTGTGGTTGTGTTGGAAAAGGAGTGCTCAGGTTTGGAAACTTCTGTAAAGGATTTGGAGTCTAAGTTATTGGCTTCTCAGGAAGATGTCTCGAAGGTTTCTACTCTTAAAACCGAAGTCACTGATCTATGGGCGAAGGCAGAGAATCTACAGCTGTTGTTAGATAGGGCTACCAAACAAGCAGAGCAAGCAGTTATGGTGTTACAGCAGAATCAAGATCTCAGAAATAAGGTTGATAAAATCGAGGAATCACTTAAAGAGGCCAATGTTTATAAAGAATCTTCAGAGAAAATTCAGCACTACAATGAGCTAATGCAACATAAGGTGACATTACTCGAGGAACGGCTTGAAAAGTCTGATGCAGAGATATTCTCATATGTCCAGTTATATCAAGAATCGATAAAAGAATTCCAGGAAACACTTGAAAGTTTGAAGGAAGAAAGCAAGAAAAAATCAAGAGATGAACCGGTTGATGATATGCCTTGGGATTATTGGAGTCGGTTACTTTTAACTGTTGATGGATGGCTGCTTGAAAAGAAAATAGCAAGCAACGATGCTGACTTACTGAGAGACATGGTATGGAAGAAAGATAGAAGAATTCATGATACTTATCTTGACGTCAAAGATAAGAATGAACGTGATGCCATCTCTGCATTTCTCAAGCTTGTGTCATCTCCAACAAGGTTATCATCGCCTATTAGAAATGCTTGTTTTTCTTTGGTTTTCAAAGATTTTTGAAAAAGTAACCTATTTTCTTCATCTTGTGTTGATTCTAGTTCAGGATTGTATGTCGTTCACATTGCAGCTGAGATGGCACCTGTAGCTAAGGTGTGTTCAGCTAAACCCCCAAAAAATACATGTTAATTTTCCGAAATAGAAGCATTGCATGGTAATTTGCATGGTTTTTCAACTTTATCACCATTCCAAATTTCCTTATGTAATTTCTGTAGGTGGGAGGTTTGGGAGATGTTGTGGCAGGTCTTGGTAAGGCATTGCAAAGAAAAGGTCATCTGGTGGAGATTATTCTCCCCAAATATGACTGTATGCAGTATGACCGTGTCCGTGACTTAAGGGTAATGTGGTTGTCCCATATGATGTTACAATAAAATTATAAGAGCACTTTAACTTTACTTTTTAGTTGTTCTTGGTGATGGTTTGATTTATTCACTGCAGGCTTTGGATACTGTTGTGGAGTCATATTTTGATGGGAAGTTATATAAAAACATAATTTGGATTGGCACTGTTGAAGGTGGCAAGACTTTGTTTTTTTCTTGCATTTGTGTCTATTGGTTTTCAAAATGATTTTAAAGTTTCTCTGTTTACAGGTTTGCCTGTACATTTCATTGAACCTCAACATCCAAGCAAATTCTTCTGGAGAGGACAGTTTTATGGAGAGCAAGATGATTTCAGACGCTTCTCGTATTTTAGCCGAGCTGCATTAGAGTTGCTTCTTCAGTCCGGCAAAAAACCCGACATCATACATTGTCATGACTGGCAAACAGCTTTTGTTGTACGGTTTGATCTTATTTTGAAGCATTTGCATAATTCATTTTGTTTAGGATACAGTTTGAAGCTCTTTTGTTTAAATATTTATTACAGGCACCACTGTATTGGGATCTGTATGCTCCAAAGGGATTAGATTCTGCAAGAATATGCTTTACATGTCACAATTTTGAGTATCAAGGTACCGCGTCTGCTTCAGAATTGGGATCTTGTGGGCTTGATGTTAACCAGTTAAATAGACCAGACAGAATGCAGGATCACTCGTCTGGAGATAGAGTCAACCCTGTTAAGGTAAATAATGATCACAAAGCCAATATAAATCGAGAGAGAAATTCGACATTTTACTCTTATTCATCTCTCTTTCTCCTTTTGGTCCAGGGTGCTATAATTTTCTCAAATATTGTAACAACCGTGTCCCCTACTTATGCACAAGAAGTTCGAACATCTGAGGTAGAAGAATAACCTTTAGTTTTTTTCGATGTTAATTTAGTGGAAGCAGACTATCCTTTGGTTTTTTTCGATGTTAATTAAGTAAAGCTTCCATAATAATTGGTCTAATGTATTTGCAGGGAGGAAAAGGACTCCATTCAACACTCAATTTTCACTCCAAGAAGTTCATTGGAATTCTTAACGGCATTGACACGGATTCATGGAATCCTGCCACCGACCCTTTCCTCAAGGCTCAGTTCAACGCTAAAGATCTACAAGGGAAAGAAGAAAACAAAAACGCCCTTAGAAAGCAGCTTGGACTTTCTTCAGCCGAGTCAAGACGGCCGCTGGTAACTTCATGTTTCCGGCGAATGCTGAGAGAGTCTTGAGCATACAAATTCAGTTAATTTATTATACATTTATTTTGGTATAGGTTGGTTGCATAACAAGATTAGTACCACAGAAAGGAGTTCATCTAATCAGACATGCCATATACAGAACATTAGAGTTAGGTGGACAATTTGTACTTCTTGGTTCTAGCCCGGTTCCACATATTCAGGTAACCTGCCTGGTCCCTTAATTCTCAGTGGCTTCTCCCTCTTCATTTCTTCTATTTAATTTCCAGTTTCGTGGTTTTGAGCTTTGATGCATTTTGTTTTTTCTCTAGAGGGAATTTGAAGGTATTGAACAACAGTTTAAAAGCCATGACCATGTCCGGTTGTTACTAAAGTACGATGAAGCTCTGTCTCATACGATTTACGCAGCATCTGATTTGTTCATCATTCCTTCAATTTTTGAGCCTTGTGGACTTACACAGGTTACAATACAAAACATGCTCTGTAGAAGGAAACCGAATCATCATCAATGTAACTAAATATTGGCTAATCTCTGTTTTCGGATTCTTTTCTCTTACGCAGATGATTGCTATGCGATACGGTTCCATTCCAATTGCGCGAAAAACTGGAGGCTTAAACGACAGGTAAAACCAAAACTTAAGACCTGATCTGAAACATTATTTATATTCAAATGACATTGGTTTCTAGGATCATTTCTTTTTATTCTCAAATCTTTTTCAGTGTCTTCGACATCGATGATGATACAATACCAACACAGTTTCAAAATGGATTTACATTTCAATCCGCGGACGAACAGGTAATTTAACGATTCTCTCTTCTTTTCAATCTTTATCAATCTTTCCTCATCATAGCTCAAAATAGGGGTGGACATTTGAAATTTCGGTTCGGTTTTACATGTTCGTCTTTAACTGAAAAAGAAAATGTAAAAAACAGGGTTTCAATTATGCATTGGAGCGAGCATTTAATCACTACAAGAAAGATGAAGAGAAATGGATGAGACTTGTAGAGAAAGTGATGAGTATAGATTTCAGTTGGGGATCATCGGCTACACAGTACGAAGAACTCTACACAAGATCAGTGTCCAGAGCCAGAGCTGTTCCTAACCGCATGTGAGTTTCACATGGCTCGTAGAGATTCTTTCTTGTAACACATAACTTTACTTGTTCATAACAGAAAAAACTTTGGGGAGTTTCAATCATATTCAAATGATTTATACTCCTTTCTTTCATATGATAAAATGTTTTTTTTTCCCAATAATAATTCTACGTTCATCATTTTTCTCATACTAGTCACTTCTCAATAGAATGATCATTGACCAACTGCATCTAAACTATATACAGTAATTTACTACATAAGAAAATAATCTGTTTATGTTCGGATCAACAAGAAGATCCGAACATTTTGACAACAATCTTGTTTCTCTTTCAACAATTTCTTAAGCCACTTCTTTTGAAACGCTTAGAGTATAGTGGCGATTCGAAAGAGTTTTTCTGTTTAACAAGCTTTGTGTCGAGAGAGTAGAAGTACCTTGACTATCTTCAGCAGTTTCCCAATCTGTTACTACATGTAAATTCAAGAGAGGCTTAGGTGGGACCTGTAGAGCTTCTAGACTTCCCTCTAACATTTCAACAACTTTTCTCATTGGTGGACGATCCAATGGATTGGTCTGTATACACCACAAACCTACTAATGTCATTTTCTTCACTATCTTCTCTTCTTCATCTTCGATTCTATGATCTTCTAATAGTCTCATGGTTTCTTTCCTGTCAAGATCCTCATAGACCCAATCTGGAAAGTACATTGAACTTTTGTTGGTCGTAGAAGTTTCAACTTCTTCTCTTTTCGTAGCCCCGATCATCTCAAGAACCACCATTCCATAACTATACACATCCGACTTATGCGAAACTCCTCCATAGTTCTTGGAAAACATTTCAGGAGCAATGTAGCCTACTGTCCCTCTCGCGTCTAACATTGATATGATACTTTCTTTCTTTTTGCACAACTTAGCAAGACCGAAATCCGAAATCTTCGGGCAAAAGTCTTCGTCTATGAGTATATTCTGTGGCTTTATATCGAAATGCACAATCTTGGATACACAACTATTGTGCAAGTACTCTAACCCGCGAGCAACACCTACGGCAATGTTGTATAACGTTTTCCAGTCTATCTTCGTAGACATATTCTCGGATATAAACTTGTCAAGCGATCCATTCGGCATGAACTCGTAGATAATAGCTCTCTGGCTCCCTTCATAGCAAAATCCAAACAGAGAAACGATATTAACATGAGAAGCTCTACTCATGCTAACTAGTTCATTGATGAACTCTTCTCCATTCCCCTTTGACTCTTTCAAGATCTTCAGTGCAATATCTCGGCCGCTAGCATCCGGTAGTTTTCCTTTATAGACAGTTCCAAATCCTCCTTTCCCTATAACATGATCAAACGAGTTTGTCATCTTCTTGACTTTTTCAAAGCTATAACGTTTCAACATCACAACCGCTTCAATGTTCTCGTCGTTCAATTCGTTCTTTCTTTTCGCATTCTTTGCTCTCACTACTGCCGCAATCACAACAAGAATGATCAACACAGCTAAAGCTGCTGAGCCTCCTAGAAGAGAAAACAAGTAAATATTAATTGTTATTTACATGAATGAAAGCATCAGAGATGTGGTTGCAATGAAGGTGGTACCAAGTATGGGTTTTAACTTCCGTAGAGAATTATCTGCAAATGTATCAAACAAAAACTATGATTAAGATTAATTAAACAAAACCAAAATAAACATTTCATACATGATACATTATATAGGATGCAGAAAACAAAAATAAACTTACGTTTTGGTTCTGGTAATGGAGCCATCGAGCTTCTGGTTTTGTTTTTCCAATCAAATAACATAATTCCATAAATTAGCTTATTAAATTCCATCCAAAACAACCAATAATATAAAGTACTATTATAGAAATTTACACAACTATAACCTAAATCATGAAATGTAGATTTATCGTTTTAATAAAATCCTGGAATTTTGTTTTGGCATCAAAATCCTAGAATTTTGTTTTGCCGCAAAAACGTACGTATAATATTTTGTTGGCGCCAAAACTATAGATTAGTGGCTTGGCTAGACAATCACATAATATTGTTTAGGCACTAAAACCGTACCGCATACTTCTATGTTGGTATCAAATATCATGTTTCAACATCAAAAATTGCAAAGAATTTCTATATTTTTACTTTATTTAAAATAAAAAATCTAAGGACGAGATTCGATATCCAGTATATATATATATATATCAGATTTTTGATGGAATAAAAACGAATTTGAAATGCCACGAAACAAAGTGAAACACAAATACTACAAAATTCAGGATATCCGGTTTATTTCCAGTCCACTTCTATTATTTGGGTTGGTGGGTTTCCAAGAAAATGATTTCCTCTTTTCCTCAAGGAACATAAACATCAACGTCTTTACATAAACTACAAACATGTTTTGATTTTTTCGTCTCCCAACTACGCACTAGTTGCCATGTGTGGGGGCGTTTGGATGGAATTGAACCCTCCACCTCATATTTAAGGGATGAGGTCTTTACCACTAGACCACTTCAGATCAATAAATGCTATATATAATCAAAACATTTTATATTTTAACCGGTGCAACTGCACCTCTCTTCCCCAACGTGGGTCCGCCCCTGTAGCCACTAGTTGGCTATTTTTTATAATTGATAGAACACAAAATGAAAGAAAATTCATAGTGAATAGCCAAATTGTACGTAGTAGTTAATTTGCAAAATAAATTATATTGCTTTTATCTTTAAAGTAATCTCAAGTTGATAGGGGTTTCCACGCAAACTTTGAACATACCGCGTTGATTTATATTTTATATGATAACATGTCATTTTTACATGATACAATGTTTTTTTTTTTTTCAAAACAAAAGTGAAATGCATTATTTACGAAAGTATCATCACTTAATTTTGCTAAAAATGACTATCTACCTAACCAGAATATGTATCATAGTGTTATGTTTGACTAATTAGGGGAATTTACCTGGTGGTGTTGGGAATGGAGGAGGGGCAAAACGTGATCATGTAGTCAGTTGAATTTGTGCATGTGAAGGTACTGTTATTACCGTGGAAGGGGTAGCTATAGGCGAATGGGCAAGCACGGTCGAAGTTCTGTACGTACTGTGTCGGCTTACAAGTTTGCTTTGACTTGAAGTAATGTGTGCAACAATTCTCCTGGGATTTGGATTCTTGACACGCGCTATTGCAGGCGACTAAATCTCCCTTGGAGAATTTCTTAAGATCATTTGGACATGTCTTATTCAAGTCAACCATACAACCTGAGCTGCTACATGCCGGGCTTGACGGAACAACCGTTAGTGGAAGGTTGTAACCGTACTCGAGGCTGATGATATAGCTGTTGATTCCGCCATCATCGATTCTAAATACGATGTAAGTCACAGGAGACCAACTGTATGCGCCGGGACACTCGATCTCACCGGATTCGCAGTCTCCCGTGGCGCATGAGAAATTTCCTGTTGAGTTGGAGCAAAGAGTCCTAGCTGAGATAAGACCGTACCATGAAGATGGCGCTTCTATGGCACGCGCCTCTCCGGTCTTGAGAGTGAAGCCGGTGGTAGAGACTTGTGACCGCCATGAAAAGATGACTGGCCAAATTGTGTTACTACATTTGTTCTCTATGGTAAGGATACTCGTGGAAAACACTCCTAGGAATAAATAAAGATTAGAAAGAAAAAAGAAATGATTAGCAAATCAAATAATCATCAATCGGGTTAAGAAATATGGTACCTGATACGAACAAGTGTGAAGCAAGGAGGAGAATCAATGGCAACCTCTTTTTCATTGGCTTAAAGAAAAACAAAAACGTTCCAAAGAGTGAATACGAACTACCAATACACTTTGTGTTATGTTTTCTCTTGCTTCTTCATTGTTGGTCAGTAGGGATTGGTATCTTAGTTATAAAACTTCACAAGCAATAAAATAGTCATCAACTAGCTAGGCTTTAAATTTAAAAATTAAAAGAATTGACAACTAGTATGAATGAGAAGAAAAGAAATAAATTTCCAGGAAATTGTCCTCACAGTGTGGTCGCATTTGTTCTCTATGGTAAGGATATCATCGACTCTCATGTTGGTGTTGGTTTTTTTTTTTTGAATGAATGTTAAATTTATTTACACAAAAAAATACCATTGTTTACATTAAATGCATCTTTGTTTTGAAATTAATTGAAAGATTTTAAAGATGAAAAGTTGAAAACTAAGTGGGTGCCAGGGAATTGGGTCGTGTCCCAAACCAAACCCGGAGTGTGTCCTCAAACTGTGAGTTACCACGAAGCTTGAGAGTGCTTAATCTGTTTCAGACGAGCCGGTCAATGAATTTGAGCAGCTGATTAGGAGAAGACGGAAGCTCACCATGCCTGGTTTCAGACATATCAACCCAACCAAAAGCCCATTAAACATAAAATATATTCTCCTTATGGTTTATAAGTTTTTTGTTAATTTCATTTTATTTTTATTTTTTTTACCTAGCTTTAAAAAAAATTACATTCTAGCTGTATTTTGTTACCATTTAAAGTATGAACTTTTCTAGTTATACAACGATTATTCACACATCGTTTCGTAATTCATCTCACTTTCATATCGAATAAAACCAACCAATTCTTTTAACACTTTTTGGACCTTATTTCCTCGATCTTCAATTTTGTGTAATTGACCAAAAGTTTTAAACTTAATTTCTTTTTACAATTTAAAATCTTCACAAACGAATTTTGGCATCTCTACTCATGTTCTTAAGTGACCTTTTTTTTGTCTGTATATTTTTTTTACTTACAACAACTGGTTATATGATTTTTGCGTTGCGTTTCTCGGTTAGTGAGATATATAAAATTTGTTGACAATTTCAGACCTTACCAGTTTGGTTAAAGCTACTGTTACATTGACAAGGAAATCAAGGATAGTATTACATTTCCTGAAAAATCGAATAGAAAAAGAAGAAGAAGAAAATACCCTATCCGATACATGCAAGAAACATGTCTATGTCGGACCACCTACTCTGACCCGTAACTAGCTTGATTTCAAAAGACTAGAAGTCTCTTGACTATCTTCATCAGTTTCCCAACCGGCCAATACCGCGGGTAAAGTCAAGGTCGGCTTAGGTGGAACCTTGAGAGCTTCTAGACTTCCCTCTAACATTTCAACAACTTTTTTCATTGGTGGACGGTCAGCTGGATTGGTCTGAATACACCACAAACCAACTAATGTCATTTTCTTCACTATCTCCTCTTCTTCTTCAATTATATGATCTCCTAAAAGTCTCATCGTTTTTTTCCTCTCGAGATCCTTATAGATCCAATCTGGAAAGTACATTGTACTTATATTGGACGTAGAATTTTCAAATTCTTCTCTTTTCATTGCCCCAATCATCTCAAGAACCACCATTCCATAACTATACACATCTGACTTATGCGAAACTCCTCCATAGCTCTGGGAAAAAACTTCAGGAGCAATGTACCCTACAGTCCCTCTTGCGCCTAGCATTGATATGATACATGTCATTTTTTTTGCAGAGCTTAGCAAGACCGAAATCCGAAATCTTGGGACAAAAATCTTCGTCCATGAGTATATTTTGTGGCTTTATATCGAAATGCACAATCTTGGATACACAACTATTGTGCAAGTACTCTAACCCGTGAGCAACACCTACTGCAATGTTGTATAAAGTTCTGCAGTCCATCTTCGTTGACATATCCTCGGAAATAAACTTGTCAAGTGATCCATTTGGCATGAACTCGTAAATTATAGCTCGCTTGCTTCCTTCATAGCAAAAACCAAACAGAGAAACGATATTAACATGAGATGCTATACTCATGCTAGCTAATTCATTGATGAAATCATCTCCATTCCCCTTTGTATCCTCCAAGATCTTTAGTGCAATATCTCGGCCGCTGGCATCAGGTAATTTTCCTTTATAGACAGTTCCAAATCCTCCTTTCCCGATAACATGAGCGAATGAGTTTGTCATCTTCTTGACGTTTTTATAACTATATCTTTTCAACATTACAACTGCTTCAACGTTCTCATAGTTCGAATTTCTCTCATTCTTTGCTCTCACCATTACCACAATCCCAACAATAATGATCAAGACAACTAAAGCCGCCGAGCCTCCTGCAAAAAAAAACGTAGGATGAAGAAACCTTTGAAAATTAAAACAAGCAAAAATTAGTTATATGCCGAGTAAGGAAGAGGGATGTGGTTGAAAAGAAGGTGGTACCGAGTATGGGTTTAAACTTGTGTTGAGAATTATCTGAAAATTTAGCAAACAAAAAATATGATTAACAAAACAAAAAGAAACATTGCATACATATTTGTAGGAAAATAAAAACAAAACTTACTTTTTGGTCCTAATGGAGCCATCGAACTTCTGTTGGTTCTCCAAGCAAATAACATATATTGTTAGTTTATCACATTATAAGTGTATCGGTATATTCATTTGTTTTTCTTGTTTGTGTGTGTGTGAAGATGCATTTATTCAATCAATTTATAAAATATCTCAAATAGTAATTATACACACGCATACCTGGTGGTGTTAGGAATCGAGGAGGGGCAAAACGTGATGACGAAGTCAGTTGAGTTAGGGCATATGAACGTGCTGTTATTATTGTTGTAGGCGTAGCTATAGGCAGATGGGCAAGCTTGCTCGAAGTTCTGCGTGTACTGTGTTGGTTTGCAAGTTTGCTTTGAACTGAAGTCATGTGTGCAACAAATCTCCCAGGTACCGTATTTTCGACACGCGCTAATGCAACCGATTTGTTTCTCCCCGGTGAATAACTCAAGATCATCAGGACATGTCTTTTTCAGATCAACCATACAACCCGAGCTGATACATGTACCGCTACTATGTGACGGGACGACCATTAGCGGAATGTTGTAACCGTACTCGAGACTGATGGTGTAGCTGTTGATTCCACCGTCATCGATTCTTAAATACACATAAGTCACAGCAGACCACTCGTATTCGTCGGGACACTCGATATTGCCGGATTGGCAGTCTCCGGTAGCGCACGAGAAATTTCCTCTAGAGTTGGTTGAGCAGAGCGTCCGACCAGATATAAGACCGTACCACGAAGACTCCGCATGTACGGTACGTGCCTCCCCGCTTGTGAGAGCGAAGCCGTTTGGGGAGATCGGTAACTTCCATGAAAAGATTACTGGCCAGACTGTGTAATCGCATTTGTTCTCTATGGTAAGGATACTCATTGACAATACCCCTATGAACAAAATTAAGATTAGAAAGAAACAAATATTATTTAAAAAAAAAATTGAAAGAAAGAAGAAGAAGAAAATTATCATCAATCGGGAAATAAATCGTACCCGTTACGAACAACTATGAAGCAAGGAGGAAAATCAATGGCAACCTCTTCGCCATTAGCTTAAAAGAAAATTGAAATGTTCCAAGGAGTGAGTATTAACAGTGATATGCTTTCGCTTGCTTCTTCCTCCTTGGTTGTCAAATTTTTGTTATATTTTGACTTACACTATTTCTTACAAAAATAAAAAATCAAAGGAGATAATATATCAAATTTGTTGCAGAGTAAAACGAATTTGAAAAGGCCGATCTAGACTAAACACATAAATTACGAATACCACAATAATTTAGGATAATGTGGGTTGATGGGTTTCCAAAAAATGATTTCTTCTTTTCCTCAAGGAACATAAACATCAACGTCTTTACATAAACTACAAACGTGTTTTGATTTTTCGTCTCCCAACTACGCACTAGTTGCCATGTGTGGGGGCGTTTGGATAATTTATAGAATCACACCACTAGCAACTAGTTGGCTATTTTTTATAATTGATAGAACACAAAATGAAAGAATATTCATAGTAATAGAAAAAACTAGGATCGGACCCGCAATCCGCCGCGGGAGAATATTGGTTTACATACGTTACGTTTAATATTGTGTGTGTTTTTTAGTAGAACGAATCATGTAGTATACTTATAAATATTCATAATAACGAATTGTAGAGAAAATGTAAAATTGTTTATAAATATACCCATCGTATTAATTATGATTTACAAAATAGAATTTTGTGTTTTAAAATTCTAAAATTAGACGATTCATGGGAATTATAGCAGTCAAAATAGGTCAAAAACCGCGGGTCGAGCCCACATCATCTCACTATGGGGCAGATTTAGGAAAATATATTAAACCCGCAAATAAGCAGGCCACATAGATTAATTCGCAGTGAGTCATAAGTTTAATCGGTTTTCATCCGCGGGTTGGCGGATCAGCCCGCATATTAGTATTTATTGATAAAATTATAATTTATTCAACATGTGGTAATTTAAACAAAATTTTAATAGTATTTTGATTTATTTATTTATTTTAGTAGTATTTTAAATTTTGGTTACTTTAAAATTATTTAAACAAAATCCATGGACAATCCCGCAAATCCGCATACATTCGCGGGACGGGTTGGTATTTCATATATGCTACCCGCGGGTCGTGCGGACCGACTAACTACAAGTCAAAATATTTTTTGTCTATCGCAAAACGGACTTAACGGGACGAATCAACTCGCTTTGACAGTTCTAATGGGAATATTATTTAGGTGGTGTTATTCAATGATGGATTTTAATAGAATTGAAATACAACACTAATCCAGTGTTATTCAACTAATGATTATAAATCTAACGTTAAAATCTGGTGTTATTAGATCTTATACTTCATTAGATTTTAAAAGTTTGGTGTTATTCAATGGTGGAGTTAAAGTCAATTCTTTAAGGTTTGTAAAATCCAGTGTTATTCAAAACTAAAAGACTTGTAAAATTTTTGTATATTAAGTCATTTCAAATGAAAACTCATTGGAGTTTCATGAATAAATTATTATAATCAAAATCCAAGATATACTGCATAGATTTTGAAATCCACACAAACAGATTCTTAAAACCAATATCAGAAAGCAAATCTAAACCTTAAAGAATTGATTTTAACTCCACCATTGAATAACACCCCCTTAGTCATACAACAAAATGAAGTTTGGACATAGTAATAATAGAATATGTATATTATTTGTTAGATGAGAGATTGAAAGATGAAGTATAATGATTAAAAATTAATTATTATTTTTCATGATTCACAAAATTTAATAAATACTTATCATCTTGTTGAATAATTCTAAAATCATATTCAAGAAATCTTTATAAATTGAAAATTAAACTTCTTTGGTAAGCTATAGGTATGAAAATATCATAATTTTGATTTAATCTAATTAAATTAAAATTAGTTACATGGATTTCATATCTATTTAATTTACACGACCAAAATAAAAATATTTATTTAATTTACACGACTAAAATAAAAATATCAATTTAATTTATAAAATAAATGAGTTATTTGTGATAAATTTTCTAGAAATCTTTAGAAGCAAGTAAAATATCTTTCAATTAATGATAATTGGCTAAAAATGAGCGAAATTAATGACAAAAACGTTGATTGTTATGGAATTAGTCCCAAAAATATACGAACAAATTTATTATACGTAATTAATGTATAATATTGTTTGGAATATGCTTTTATTATTAGTTACCATAAGTACAATCAGATTTTATTTGATTTCCATAAATATTTGATTTTATTTCGATTTTTCATTATTATTTCGAATTTATATTCCAAAAAAATTTCAAAGATCCGATTTCAGAATTTCGGGTCAATTTTCTGATTTTAACCCGACCCATTTTCATTTGTACTTCTATTTTAATAGTATAGAGATAAGCTGATTTGTTAAAAAAAAAAAAAAAGACGGAAACTTGTTGAAGCTGGAAATTATCAAATTAAAGTCATTGTTTTTTGTTCCTTTTTTTCGCTCTCATTTGATGATTGGCCACTCATTAATTAGGCTTTCACTATTTCCATTGAAGTTCTACTGAAAAATAACATTATCAATTTGAAGAGAGAAGATATAAGGCTAAAACCAATTCTATATCTTAGCATCCAAAACTGATCAAACATGGGTAAAAGCTCTTTGGCTATGGAACAATTAAAATCTATCCATTTGCATTGCGAGTAACCCACAAACCCGATTTGGCCAGAAATTGACCATGCAAAAAACGGGTATTGCATTTAATGAAGGGAGATCATAACAACGAGTGGGCAACAAAGATGCTTAATGCTTTTCAAGGCAAGAAGAAAACGGGTTTCATCAATGACACATATAATAAACACGCTGAAAACAGTAAAGTTTTAACGTAAATTCCATGATTGTGAGATGGATGTGGACATTGATCGAGCTTTGTGTACATTCGTTAATGACCTTTACCGGATGCAAAAAAGTTGTGGGAAAATCTCAAAAGAGCTTTTTGATGTGTAACAAAGTAAGTGTCCATCAATTGATGGATGAGCTAACGTCAAAATGGCAATTGAATTGGTGATTATTTACTATGGAAAACTACTTACCTTTGTGTACATTCGATCATTGTTTAGTCTCTAACTTATTGGAAGTCTGGAAAAAAAAAAAAAAAAAAAAAAAAACTAATTGACAACTGTGGGATTTGAACCCACGCCCTTTCGGACCAGAGCCTAAATCTGGCGCCTTAGACCACTCGGCCAAATTGTCCTTTGTGTTTGTTTTGTGATTAATGTTTATATATCCGCATTTAAAAGATCAAGTATATGTATTACTACCAAATAGGCAAATACCAAGTAATTTTGAATCTGTGGGAAAATACTTGCGATGTCTAAATGGATGTAACTACCAAGAGTTTATAAAGATTTGTTATAAGCGTTGTCTATATATTGGTAACTTGGTGTAGAATCTGTTGATTGACATAACAATCCACAGTACATAAATCGCGGTTAAGAGCATATACATACAGCTTCATCCCTTCCGAAGTGCTTGGAATTTTCGATGATGGCTTATGTGTTCTTGTTGCACAGCCATATCAAACTCATTTGGGTTCGGTGGACAACTTATCTTCTCTGTGTTCAGGCCACAACTCAACATCCAGTAGCTTGGAGAAGTGAAAAAAATCGAAAAATCAAGTTTTTTGCTCATCTTGTTGTTGTTGAGCCTTTAGTTTCTCGAGCTGCTTCCGAAGATAAGCTTGTTTGAGTTTCTCCCGACGATTTGTTGCTTGCTCTTGTCTCCTTTGCTTTAACTCAGTTGCCTTTTCTCTAGCTTGATTCACTTCCTCATGAACCTCCCTACGCAACAGATTTTACATGAACAATAGAGACAATAAGAGAGAGATATTGATTCATTTCCTAAAAACAGAATCTGTAACAATGGACTTATTTCCTTCTTTTTATTAGCTATTATCAGACAACTAATTAAACGGAGAAAGGACTAAGGAGATGGAAATGGAATTACCTGACCATACGCACGTGTTGACTTACATCGGCTGTCCCAATTGCGTGTCCAAGTCCAGCAAATTTGGTGCTAAACAGCAAACCATCATCTTCACCATCTTGCTTGAAATCTTCAGGTGGTGCTGAAATGGAACTGGTGTAAGTTCTTGATGATTTTGGGTCTTCATGTTGAATTCCTTTCTTGGAGAAGTCAACACAGTACTTCTCTTCACCTTCTTCATCTGAAAGCTCTCCTCTAACAAGTTTATCATACAACTGCGCCTTTTTCTCCAATGCAGCATAACTAACTGCTCCATCTTTTACTGCTTTGAGCTCGAGCTTGTCCCTTCATTTCCAACACACAAAAACCACTGTCGTATATAAGAACAAACTAAAAGTAAAATCACTAGAGATAGATGGTTCAGCAACCAAATTGAAAGCTAAATTTGATGATCAAAACCCTAATCCCCATCATCTCGTTTCACCAAATTGATACTTTTTTGCTTAACCTACGTTCAATTCTAGACCAATCATCCTAATTCTACGAATTATCATCAACTCTTAATCTAAAGAACAGATACAATAAAAAAACCAAACCCTAATTCCCAAATCCGCTCGTTTCACCAAATTGACAGCAATAACACCAATAGGAAGATTCAAATTTGATGAATCTCCGACTTACTTAAGATTGCGACTCTCGACGCCGGAATTTTTCGCAGAGAAAGAATCTTTAGCGGCAATCCTTTCCTTGGCGCGATGGTATTGAGCATCGGATCCCGTGAAATCCTTCGTATGTTTAGCTTCTTCTTGCGATTTATAGAGCTGAGCTTTAAGCTCCATGATTGAAGAAGGACCAACACCTTCGATGACGCGATGCTTCTTTGGCATAATCGAAGATTCCGTTAACCATCCCAGCGATTCAGTGACTACTCTCTTCTTCGTCTCCTCTTCGCCTACCATCTTCTTCTCCTCTCTCTCGTTCTCTAAATCTATGCAATACACGAATCTATGAAGCAGAGCTTTGAATCTCTCTGGTTCGTTTATCCTCGCAAGTTAACTTCGAATGGCAGATTTTGCAAACTTAAAATAAATCAAGAGTTAAATTCATCAGTGATAACTATTAATTAATTTGGGCTTTCTTAATCACTATTGGGCCTTTATTCGGTTGATTAGGCCCAAACTTAATTCCGCGTCAGATTTGACGTCACCAAAAATTTCGTCAAAAATTCAACATTTTGTTAAGATTTTTTTTTTTTTTTTTTTGACGAAATAAAAATTTCACCTTGAAACTATAATGATGAAACTATTCAAATACTATATATTATATACGGAAAGGTAAGAAAAAAAACAAATATTTACTTACAAAACAATACAAAAAACAAACCAAAGCAAATCCAACAGTAATCTATCATAAACAAATGTAGGAAATCTGATATTCAAAAAAATCGGTATTATAGTTGACCTTCACACATCACACCGATCAAATTAATTTAAACAGATTCACAAGTGCATTACTTTTGCGACAAGGCTGAGGAACCATGACCTTTTGTTCATGATCATTTCTCGTTACCACTTGGATGCTTTGGTTATTATTACTTCCATTTGTGTTATTATTTTGCTGATCCGATTCATCAAGAACAACTCTTTGCTTTTGAAAATGTTCCCATTTGTCTTGATATAGATAGAAGAAGACAAGACAAGTGACTTGAGCTGTGAACAAGATTGTCCAAAGACTTGAGTATCTACTTGATGTTGTCTTCTTTTGATAAGCTCTTATGCCTGTGTATATGTTTATTATGCCAACTATTGAGACTATTGTTCCAAGAATCCAATGCAATAAGAACCATCTCAACCTCCTTTTGCTCCCTCTACAATGCAGCCAATAGAATCGCGACAACTGTGAGGCATATGTATATATATATATATAGGTACATAGAAAAGATGTATATATTACGTATATATATACACCTTGAGGGCTTGAAGATACCGGTCAAGAATTGGAGCCACATGGCAGCATAAAGAGCCAAGCCAAGTCTTTGATGGTTGTTGTCAAAAGAGTTCTCCAATGTTCTTAAAGACAGTATAGCTCCTATTGTTGCTAAAACCACTGCCAATATCTGCCCATTAAATTTTTTTTTTTTTAAAAAGTATTTAAGAGTGTCTATTATGGATATATATAGATTTGATTACTAAATGCATTTGAATATATGTGTAAGAGTGTAATCATATAGTGTGTCCTCTGTTCATTTCCCTTTATATTCAAGAAATCATGATCAAAGCTATATAGCAGATTCAAGAAGCAATTCCTTCATAAGCTATCTATTTGAAAATAATTTCAATGCATGTATATCTAGCTGTTGAAATCCAGTAAATCTAAGACTATGAGTGCTTCTTGTTTTTCAGTTTTTAAAAATCTTATATCCCTTATCGATCTATCATATAATTTTGTCCCTAGCATACTCGATATTATATTTATAGTGGAGAAAATGATTAAAGTGAGATCACTGAGATGTCATCATGAGTTTGAACTAAGATCAATTTGCAATAAATACTTTTTCATATCTCAAAATTTTAAAATGATACAAAATTCTCAACACAACAAAATACACCGTTTACATCATTTAGAAATATTTATATATGGAGTTGCTAAGAATAATTAATTTACCTGGAAAATGACATGAAGATAGAAGAACACTTTAACTTTTATTCCATTTGCATGAGCTTTATTGGTCATTCGAATGAAGATAATCCCCAATGGCATAAGAAAGCCCATAGAAACCCATAAGAGAATGCCATGAAGCTTTATGCTATTTATCATTTGATGACTCAACTGTCATAAAATTTAAGATAAAAATATGTAAATTTATTATAGTAGTAAAATCGTAAAAATGTAGTATTATGTAATATATAAAGTATAAACGACGACAAAAAGAGTATACCTTGTCTTGTTCTTGGGATCCTTTATTATTGAGATTGCTTGGTGAATGGTTATCAATGGTGACTTCAAGAGATGAGCAGATGACAAATGGTGGAGCAGAAGTTAGATAGAAGAGAATAGAAATCAAAACAGTCCTGAGAGATTTAGAGATTCTCATTCTGATCTCAATCTCAATAGCTAATTAACCACACACACAAAAAGAATCTCAAAGCACAAAATCCACTCTCTAAAATTCCCTTTTAGTCTCTCTCTCTCTCTTTTTAATCAGTTCATCACTTCTATGAAAACTAGAGCAAGACTCATGAAAGATAGACATGTGACATGCATGAAACATATAAGTATGTGAGATATAAGAGGGGGAGGGAGACAATAGAGAGGATGCATGTGATGGCTGGTGCAAAAGAGGCTTTTAATGGAATGATTTGAAGGTTTAGTAATTAAAGTAATGATATTCAATTTGATCATGGAGGGATGGGCCAAATTCAAAATGATCATTAAAGTAATGTTAATTTTCCTTGATGTTATAAATTCAATCACCAAATCCAAGATACCATCCAACATGATCATGATCATTTTATAACAAGTCAAAAAGGTTTTCTTTTGTTAAGTAAATAAATATTATCGGCTTGGGGATTTTCAATTTGTATATTTGGTATCTTCATGTAATTGAATCATTATCACATTCCTGTTCTTCTTGATAAATTAATATATGCACACACATAGTATGTGCATCTGTGTGTGTATACTGTATATGCTCATACAGACTCACACACACCACTCACATGTGAGATTTTGGACTTTATGTGTTACCAAAGGGAATAAATAAGTAATATTTTTAGCTTTTCAATTTGGTCCCATAAGCAATCAAATAATAACTTGTTCTTGGCTCCAATGATGTTATTTATGCCAAACATGCTTATAGATTAATAAGCTCCTTTGCAAATTGTCTTTGATCTGTTATAGCAAATCATATATATATATTGAATAAGAGACCTCATTAATCTCTTTCAATCTTCACATCATTCAGTTAATTTTCACAGTATAAGCTTCAAAAGAAGCCACATCATTAATTAGTAACTATATATTCGATGTCCTGCATGAATTCAACAAAAGAAGATAAACTTGCATGAAACAAGGGCAACATCCTCTTGGCAAAACGGATTTAAGAAAAAAAAAAAAGAGATAAGAAATTAACATTTTAGAGAGAATTTGGTCATACATGTTTTCATTGTTATTTTTCGACGGAAAAATTAAAGTTCATTTTAGTAAATAATGAATTGTACTAGCAGCATACGAATCGAAGTAAAGATGATTATGTAAAATCGCGAATTAACAATTTGTGATAACTAATTATATTTTTTGTATTTTGTTTTGACTATTCCAAATTTTTAAGTTTTAGTGGAATTTTGGACAGATTAAGGTTTGTGAAGTGGTAATCTCTGTCAGATCTCGAGAATTGAGAAGAACAAAAGGCAAAAGGCAAACATATGCCAAATGGGAACTCTTCCTTTTTATAAATTCACATTATCTTTCAGGTCTCGCGGTGGACTTAACGATCATTGAAATGATTACAAATGCATGGGTAAAAGTCTTTGATTCCATCGACTAAAACACTAACAAACTATATATAATTATACCTAATGAAATCTTTGGTAGCCAGTCCATTCATACCAACTTTCTTCCTTTACTTTTTCTCTTTTTAATTCACTTTGTTATCAAAGTTGAGAGAAAAACAAGAAATGTGATCCAGACCCATTGAATTTATTTTATATAAAGAGTAGTCCTTAATGAAGATTACACTAATTACGGATAAATCACATCAATAAAAATTGCGCGATCATTTCCAGCCACAGTTTTTAGTTGCTCGATCATTCTACGGTATGTGTTTCAAGTTTGTGTTCATTCCATTTGGTGTGAACGAAATAAGCGAAGACATGGGGAACAAAGCTCGCCTCCTAAACTCATGTCTTCTTTCATTGATCGAATAGTCTGGAACAGACTTTCAAGTCTAAAGGAAACCACAACAAATTTTGAGGGTGGCCTACGAATCTGGTTTGGTGCTCGAAGGCTCTACTTGTTTTAGGGGGTCGTTTTTTATCTCTAAAAATGTTGAATGTTAACATTCATTCAAAAAAAAAAATTCCATATATTGTAAACAAAGTTTTTTTGTTGAATAAATTTTACATTCATTCAGACAATAAAAAACATAGTATCAAGACCTTTTTAATTATTTTTTGTATAAAAGCTTCAAGTTGGTAAGAAATTGAAATCTCTATCATTACATTTATTAGCTTAAAATTAAATTATTTTCCTATTTTTATTATTTTAGATTGCCAACTAAAATCGTAAAAAAAGATCGAAGATCAGAGAAAATAATTTCTTTTTTAACAATGGTTAATAAGGACCAAAGGAAAAAAATAGATAGTCCCTATAATAAATATTACTCTATTTAAAATAACTTAATAAACAAAAAGTGGCCAGAGAGAAGCAAAAAGAAAATAAGCTTATGCAGAAATAAGACCTATGTAAGCTGCTGAAAGAGAGAGCAAAGAGGATATTACATATGCCATTGTTACTATCATTGGCTCCTTTAAACCACTTAGCCTGAGGTGATGATGAAATGGTACTGTTTTGAATATCCGACGCCCTTTTCCTTTTAAATGCTTAGTCGCCGAGTAAAACACGACCTGCATGCCAGAATATCCATCATCAGGGGTTGCGGTTGCGATTGTGAGGGGAGAAAGATATTCTATTCTTTTACCTGAATAATGACAGAAGAAGCTTCCAAAACTGCGACACCAGACGATATGAACAATGGGAAGAACATTCCTGAGCAAGCAGCCATTGCAGCCAAAGCTCCACCTAGAGCCAAGGATCCAGTATCTCCCATGGAAACTGATGCTCTGTATCGATTGTGAAGCAGAAACCCAAAACAAGCTCCAGCCATTGAAGCTCCAAATACAGAGAGTTCTGAACTCGAATAGAAAATACAGATTGGAAGTAGTGAGCCACACACACTATCTTCACTTGCATTAATGAGCCACCCACATGCTTTGTAGGATTTGTGAATCTTACAAAAGTGAAAGTAAATGATTTGGTATAATCGTTAGGGAATCACCAGAGCAAATAGGAAGAACTGCTACTGCCATTGCAACGAAAGCCAAGGCAGCAATACCTCCCGCCAATCCATCGAGACCATCGGTTGCTTTGACTAAGTTTCCCATGGAAACAAAGTAACACGATGTCAACAATAGGTAAAGTTTTCCCAAGTAAACAAGACCTAATGGTGAAGGCAAGGGAACCAACATTTTCCTAGAAAAAATTCAGATTCAAGAAGACGGTTATGTAAACTTCTGAAATACTCATTTTTCAGACTTTGAGAACTCTAGAAAGCTAATTTGTGGACTAGTTTGAATCAAATCATGTGAATTCTTATTCTCATGTACATTCATATAAAAGTAGATACGCGAGTTACCATCATATATGCGTTGATCAGATTAGTTATAAGAGGCTATACATGCCATAAGGAGATGATATGCTTGCAGTCTCCAACCAAAACGCAAAGCAAGTCCCAACAGCTGCCTGTGATGGATGCAGATGGATCAAGTTAAGAGAATGAAAACGTTTAAAATCACAAGATACAGAGGAAGAATTAGTTTAAAACCTCCAAAAGAAGTTGTATCTTCGCAGATAAACCATTATTATTCTCACTGTAGAGGCTTAAGGAGTCATCAACTAGCCCAATAGCTGCAAATGCTACAGTTGCAGCTGCTGCTCCCAAGACTTCGATGGACGAAACTTTAGTCAAGGCTATTGCAACAACAACACCAATTGGAACAAAGAACAAGCCACCCATTGTCGGGATTGTGGGTCTGCGGTTATGTGGAACTGGCCCTAGTGTCCTAATTGGCTCATGCACTTTCAGTCTGTCTAGAAGCGGTACAAAAATATAACCGGCTAAGGTAACTAGAATCGCCGATGTGAAGAAGGGCAGGCTTAAGAAATATAGAGGCAAAGGCAGTCTAACAATCTTCCAAGCAAAAGAGTCCATCAGTAGAAGCAGCAGTGACAAAAAAGCAAGAAGCCCCAAATTAATCCCATATCTGATTCTGTATATGACAAAAAACCGCAATGTGAAAACAAATGGAAGTTCACAAGAGAACAATCTTCTATAATATTCTTTAGCTGACAACTAGAAACAATCTCCAGGGAACAAACACCAGATCCTAAAATCAAATGACTCACTCATAGCCTCCTTTCACTTACACATTCTAGTGGATTCAACAAAAAAGTAGTGTCATGGTTGAAATAAAACGTGCCTGTGCTTTTTGCGACCTCTAGGAAACTTTCCTAGCTTCTGTGCAGTAGTTTCGGTAACCACATTCAAAGCATAATCACCATCGCTCTCTTCGCCTTCACTCGACGAAATTGCATATGTAGCAGTGAAGATGTCACCGGAATAGAAATCAAATGAATCCTACAGCAAAAGAACAACAGTAACGTTGATGCCAAACTCAGTGAGTCAAAAAACCAAATGAATGCAAATAATCTGAAATGGATATTGAAAATATACATCATCAAATGCCTTAACAGAGACAGAGCTATGTCTCACGCTACTACATCCATATCTCTGCATAGAATCCAAAAACACATAATTATTATACAAGAGAAGAAGCAGTCAATCAAACATGTCAAATACAAAATCAAATAGAGATCAATCAACCAATCTCGGGTTTTATCGTCGTACCTTGAAAGAAGAAACAGATCCAGATTCGACGCGAGGAGGTGTAACCGAGAGTGGAGGAATCGATTCTAGAGATCGAAACGGATTTGGATGATAAAATCGGTAAGAACTCGGAGTTAACAAGGAAAACCGCATCGCATCGTTGTTGAAGAAGAACAAAAAATGGCAAAAACAACAAGGAATAAGAAGAACAAAGTATGTATGTGTATTTTGGGTCTTCTTATCTTCTTCTCTGTTTTGGGCCAACCTTTTCCTTAACACATTCTCTTTACGAGACACCCGATTAGTTTTTAAGTGACAAAACTGAAGATTTAAATCAAGAATTGAACCGCAATTAGTTCGATAATTTTTTTTTTTTTTGGTTTAATGTTAAACTAGTTCGATACTATTTGTTCAAGACTTGATGATATCCAACTCAAAAGTTTACCAATTACTACCAACCAAGTGAGAAAATTATCAAAGTTATAGGTCTAAGCATGTTGCATAGTCAGACTCGCAAAAGCCTCTAAACTTTAAACTTTGATTATTTTGTGAATGTTAGACTAACTTAGCTTCTGATTCTGAATCTCATTTTAGTAATCCCCACTTACCTTGTTGATAATGCTTCGACTAGTTTTTCTCCATGAATGTACTCACTTCTATCTGTTAGTTTCTGTTATGTCTTTTGAAGCTACTAACATGTCATCTACTTAATTAACATTGATACCAAAAAAAAAATGTCATCTATTTATGACAGTAGATAGACCTCTTTAGTCTTTACATATACACATGGATCATAATTTTTTATATGTACATGTCATGAAGGTGTAAAACTTTATTTTATTGTATATGTGTCTTTTTCGATCCATATAGATTTTTTTGAGCAAACATATACATGCATGATCACCTTCTTTCATATAGAAACCAGTTAGAATGCCATGTAAAAATACATTCTTTAGTCTTTACATCCAACTATTTCAGATCTATTAATGTAAGGTTGATATAGACATGTTTCAGATCATGTGAAAATATCTCGTTAATTATAAACATTTCCAACTTGAAAAGAAAAACCTTTTAGCCACTAACTTGATCTTAAATCTAGGTGCTTCTACACCAGGAGTTAATGGTTTCCTCTCGGAGAATATATGGAAAAAGGACTATATTCAACAAAAAATAAATTCTAAAATATTTTTTTAAGAACTACTCCATCCGTTTCGTAATATAAATCGTTTTAAGTAAAAATACGCCGATTAAGAAGATTTTTAAAAGTTCAACCAATCATAAAAGAGATTGTATAATATAAATAATTATAAAATATTAAAGATATATAATTTGTATTGAAATTCGTAAACGACTTATATTTTGAAATAAAATTTTTTATCCAAAACACCTTATATTATGAAATGGAGTATTGATAAAGCATTTCACTGTCGGAGACCCCTCGAAACACATGAAAAAAGTCTTCGAGGTAGGAATAATTATCTTAACTGCCAACAACATAATTCAATTACTCTTTCAGTGGAAATCTCTAGAGAGATAGCGACAGATTTATAGAATGTGAGCTGCCATTTGTCAACAAGTCACGAGAACTGTTTCCTTTCAAGTAATTTATAATTCTTCTCAACATCTTAAGAAAAACATACAAAAAACGCATGGAAAATAATTCTCGAAAACGTTACATATCCAACTTACATATCTCACGGGAACCGTTTAACATGCTACAACATTGTTATTACATTTTATTATTGAAATAATATGAAGAATACGATATAAATTTTGACCCAAATAAGGAAAGAGAAAAAGAAAACAATGTCCAAAGAGTTAGTGGGGTAATAATAAAAATAGCACAAAGCATGAGTGGTGTGACTCGTTACTATGGAAGCCTTAAAAAAGATATCACAGAAACCGACATTTTAATTCTAACCCTAAAATCGGATTCTCACATGTCTGAAAAGAGAGACATCTCACGGATGTCACTAACTTCCTCTCCTTTTTACTTAAAAGATTTTTATTTCTTTTTGGCACTTACTTAAAAAGATTTTCCATTAGATTCATCACATAATAATAATAGTAAAATAAATACGTGTCTAATGCGCGTTCTCGTGTTATTGCGTATATAAAGTCTTAACGGGATGAGGCCATAGAGTAAGAGCTAAAACAGATATTTCATGAGGAAAATGAAGAGTGAGTTTTTTACATTGATGGCAATAATGTCTCTACTCCTAGCCTTCTCGTTAGTCCATGGAGGAGGAGAGCCTGGAACACCTTCTAATGCAGCCGTTACCCCAAGTAGTCCAACCGGAGGATCCAGCGGTTCAAGCGGTTCGGCTCATGGACCTAATTGGGGATATAGTTGGGGATGGGGCTCATCCCCAGGAGGTGGTTATGGCTATGGTTCTGGTTCGGGTTCGTCACCAGATGGAGGAGGAAAAGGGTCTGGATTCGGGTTTGGTTCGGGTTCAGGTTCAGGAACTGGATTTGGGTCTGGCTCGGGAGGAGGAGGAGCCACAGACGGTGGTTCTGGCCATGGAAGTGGGACCGGACACGCTGGTGAAGGCGGTGGCTCAGGCAGTGGAAATGGTGGAGGATCTCCAGATCGTAGAGAGAGGAGCCAACACCGCTAAAAGAAAGCTTTCTTGTTATTATTACTACCTTAACACAACCATACATGCATAAGAGGATAAGACTCAAAGAAGAAAAAAAAATACCATAGTAGCAGCTTAATTAAATAATGCATAAATATGGACCAAAGGAATAATAAGTAGTTGGGCTTTAATTACCGATGTACTTTGTATCATAACTAAACGTCTAAACCTATTATAATATTGTGTTCTTGCGCCAAACCTAGTATGTTAATATTTAATACTCTTTCCGTTTCAAAATGGGGAGTAAGACGTTTTGAGGTATTATTTTTGTTTTAAAATGTAAAACGTTTTCAAGTTTCTATGCAAATTATATTTTAAAATTAATTTTTTTATATTATTTATATTATGCAGTTTTATTCATGATTGGTTGAACTTTTTAAAAGTGGATTTTCTTAATCTCTGTGCTTTTAACTAAAATGTTTTATATTTTGTAACGAAGGGAGTACTAAAAGATGATGATCAATTGCTCATATATAGGAAAATAGTGAAAATGAAATGTTGTTCTTAAAGTGGTAAACTATATGATAAGTAATTAGCAAATGGAGGCTGGTTAAAATTCTTTGTACAAACTGATTATTCAAAGTTTTAATGGGTGTCAAGATTTAATTCCATTATTTCCAACCATCTAATGACAAATAAAACCGAACCGAATTTTAATATGAGTAATTGAGTATATAGCGTTATGGATTGCAGCATTGCCTTCCCAACTTGTGTTACTTATATCATGAAAAATCCACATCTAGAAATTTTGTAACTTAGTGATTTTAAGAAAATCTTTATAGTTTGGGGATCAATTTTTTTAATAGTTAAGAGCCCACATTATATGATGTTAAATAAATTGGGTAAAACAAAATTAATTTGCACAAGACCCAATATGTATATGAGCCAAGCCTGTCACCAAATGCAGATATTTGTTCTAATAAGTCGTAGCATTCACAGTTCATGGTTCCTACTCGAACCTCCCAATGCCACACCTGAGCTTACCATTCAGTAAATCAGATATGGGATCCTGAATTTGAAACTGACGTGCTTTGATGCAGAGTAACTCTGGCCCATTAAAGGCCCATTCAAAAATACAAAGGGATTTTCTTGTTTTCATTATTTTAGTTTGGAAGCTTCGGCGACAGTGTAATAGATTCGTGAGTACAAAACAAAGATATATGTGCAATTTACAATTTACTATCTTTTTATATTTCTAAGTATAATGTTTCATCTGCAGTGTGATTGGATTGAACAAATTTGGAATGTCAATTTTTTCAACATTTTTTAGGTAATTATTTTAAAATAATATCATCCGATTATTATAAAATACAAATTTAATTTATACAAAAATATAACAATTTAGATAAACATGAAAAGAATTCGACGAAGGATAAAAATTTGGGTTTCCATATGCTAACCCAAAATCCATCAGATTTCTGTCAGGTTTACCCACTAAAATCCGAAACCCGCCGAACATAAGAGAGATCTCACTATAAAAACTTACTTGTAATTTATGTCTTGGTGCTCGTAAGCTCGTTTGATGTCTCTTTTGCTCATTAGACTTTAAAATCTTTAGTTATATTTTTCTTTTTGGTTTGTGTTTGGCAAATATTAAGTTTTGAGACTCTTTTTAAGCAAAAAAAAAACATGTTCTATACGTTCTACTCAAACTCTTCGTCCCTCCTCACTTCATCAACGCCAATAGATAATTGATATATGTTATGCATGGACGTAGAAAAAATTGTTAAAGATTTTAACAACTTAAAATTGCTTCTTCTTCTTTTTCTCTGTGGGTATTAACTACCCTTTAGAAATGCCTATAGTCAAGCGAAAAATAAATTTTAATAATGTATATATGACTTTTTTGAGGAATTTTAATTAAAAAGAATATGTAAGATCCCATTTTGTTTTTTTGTTAAACGTAAGATCCCATTTCAGGCAAACGCGTGGACTAGTAACTAGGCACATATATTCATTAGCTAGGCTGGGCTGGGGATGGTCGAAATTTAAAAGGAAAAAAACTTTTAAGAAAAAAAAAGGAATGAGGAGATACTTATAGAACAGTGGGTTTTTGAGGATTTGTAGTTGGAGATATGACAAAGGATCGTTGTTTTTGTCTGCAACCATTCGTGAAGAAACAGACAAAAACAGTAGCTAACTTTTGGTAATTGCGTATTTACTATGTTTTGATTGATTTGTGGGATAAATTCTCTTGCAATCATCATGCCAAAATTATATTAGCTAGAATATTTTAAATTTATGATAATTATCAAACTAATTAAATATTGGACTAATATCATTTTAGTTAACTACTTAACTACATATCTACCAAGTTTAAGTAATTTGTAAAACCATCAAGCATCAACGTTTCAATATTCTATTAAAATTTGTTGATTGATTACGGCTAACTCAAATGCAAGTGATTAATGTATAATCACATGACGTGAAATTCCAAGAATAGTCTATAATTTAGATCATGAAACCCTTAGAATTTTACTCCTTTCACAGAAATGAGGTTATCAAGTTTGGGGGGTTGGAGGCAGAAGATGGAAACATCAATAATAGATGCGATTGAGCACTTTGGTCCCCTTCAAGACTTGGATACACACCATTTTGCAATCACATGGCACTATATATCTATTCATCTTTGGAAAAATTTATGAAAAATGTAATCTCAAAAACAATCAATATCTTGCAACGACTTCAAATTATAAACCGGATATATATATATATATATATATATATATATATATATATATATAGCTATGATTTTTTTTTATTCCATACCGACAATTAAATTACGATACCATACAAACAAAATTATGTGATGAGATCGCAATTTTGAGTTTATCTAACCATTTCAATCTCAAGAATTTGACATAACAACACCATTTAGCATGCACATTAGTCCCTATTCTGTTCTCTAAGAATCAAACCGCTCACATGTTCAATTGATATGACTTACGAAAGATAAAATAATCTAAAATTGAAACGAGTTGTCTAAGCATGTCATCATTCAACAACACCTTCGCATGATAGTCTCATCAAGTAATGCACATGTATATTACTAAAATTATTATTGCTTAGAAAGTACAACAAAATCAGTTAATCCTAGCACATATGTAGAGACAATTTGCATAACATCATGCGGCATCAGCTTTATACAACTAACATTTGTGTACACGAAACTGAATTGATAAAAAGTTATGAAAAATAATATTTAAAAAGACTTCTTCTAATAATCAACTTAAAAACCATGCATGTCACATTATGTTTGTCAACAATATGCATTATACGAATTTAAATATAGCTACATGGTTGTACAACGACAATGATATCACATACACTAAGTAACATGTGATAACCGACTATATATATCGATATATATATATATATATATATATATATATATATATATATATATATATATATATGTAATTACATTGTCACCTTGAAAATTTATTTTTGAGTTATATATATATAATTGTCTGAGCCTAAAAGATTGATAACATTTTGTTATATATATATATATATATATATATATAATTTTCTGAGCCTAAAAGATTGATAACATTTTGTTCTCTTCACAAGGATGATTTAAAATATCAATATACAAAATTCTGTATATTTTAAAACTAAAATAAATTTCATGTATATTTACTTAAAAACGTTTTTACAATAATTTAATAGTTGCGTCGTCTAGTAAAACAAAATTAGGTGGATCAAAACTTACATGTTACTTTTTCAAAAAAAAAAAAAAACTTACATGTCTACGAGAAACGGACCTATAAAATTATAACCATAGTTTTCAATTTATATAAAAATCCTACTAATACCCCGTGCGAGCATTTAAAAGGAGAGAATTGGATAATGAGTTCATATTTGGACACCACTAGCCAACAATGTGGAACCATAAAGGAAAGTTAAATTTGCCTCATTGAAAAGTAAGTGTTTCTAACAAATTGGCCACATATTTTTTCTTTACTTTTTTTTATAAGAAAGAAAGCAAGACATAAATAAGGGAATAATCAATAATTTTATGCAACTGCAACTTCACTTCACCATCTTGAGATTCAATTGGCTGAGCTATATTGGGTCCACATTGGTCCTCGACCTATTAATGGAACATTTGCTCTCTTTCCACCCTCGATTTGTATGCGGATGCGGTCTATATGAAGTACAAATTCTTATAACTGTTCTGCATGTAGAGGATAAACCGACTCCACTGCATGGTCAAGAGTGTTATTGATTAATACTCTTCTCCTATTTAGATTATCGATATATTCTTGGCTATTTAATCAGAACATTTAATGTTAATATTCTAATGCACAAGTGTTAATATATACAATATGCAAACGGATAAAAACAATTAACCCGAATATTAGATGTTGAGAGATATACATGCATGAGAATATGAATTGGTATGATTTTTTGACAAAAAAAAAAAGAATTGGTATGATGTATGATTTTTTTTAGACGTTCATTTTCCACCTAACGCCTATGACATTCAGAGTTTCAGGTTACAATTAATTTGAGCGTTCTAATATTTTTATTAAATTAAAAAATGATTTAGTTAGATATTTAATATGTTAGAATACTTTCGGCCACTTAAATAACCAAACTTTTAGGATATACTCCCTCTATTTTACAAAAAGTATCGTTTTCAGGTGTTAATTTTGTACTCTCTCCGTTTTGTTTTAGTTGTCGTTTAAGGTTTTTTCACACAAATTAAGAAAAGCATTAAATTTTCTGTTTTATCCTTTATTAACATATTTTTATAAAAAATTTTATTGGTCACAACATTAAAACAATAGGGATAATACTGGAATTTTTACCAAACATTTGCATTGAAAACCTAAAACGACAACTAAAACGAAACAAAATTTAAGTCCTAAAACGACAAATAAAACGAAACGGAGGGAGTATCACAAAAGTGTCATTTTGTGTTTTCAATGCATCTTTTAATACTAAATTTCTTTTTATCCATATTATTTTAACTTATTAATTAGAGAAAAAAGCTTTTATAATGTATTATTAAAGAGCATAAAATAAATTTTTACATTTTTTTAATTTGTGTGGAAAGTGAAAGAATGACACTCTTTGTAAAACAGTGAAAGTTTTTTCTATTATCCGGGAATCCGGATCTTCTGACCATTAAAAACTTTTAAAGGTGGGTAAAAATGATTGAAATCGCAATTGAAAAAAGGTCAATTGAG